TTTATTTCTTGGCACTTCTCTTTTCTGTTCTCATGCCCTATTCTCTCCTGATAAAATTAGTGAAGTGCTGTGCTGTTCTCAAAACAAAACAAAAATCGACCAACTAGGCACCCAAGTCACTAAGAGCCAGCCATTGCCTGCAGTGAACTAACAGTTCCACACCCAGAATTTTCCTGGCAGAAACAGGAGTTCCCACTCCAAAATAGCTTTCTTACGTTCACCCCCTTATTTGGTGACAACTCTCCTTAAGGGAACACGGTGTTATCACAGATAAGGTGAGGGTGTGTATCCCAGCCATGGATTACCTGTACATCTTCTAAGACCCTAAAGGGCTGGCTTCGTTTCCGTTAAGGGGCTGCTTGGTGCGGTAAGCCTTGTTACCTGTGATATTTAAGAAGAAGAAGGAAAAAAAAATGCAGCTGTCCCTTTGTATCCACGGAGGAATATGCAAATCTGCAGGTGCTCGGTGACTTAAGAAAGTGAAGTACAACCTGCTCACATTCTCCTGGGAGATCATCTGTACAAGCCTCACAATGCCTAATGCAGTGCTGCTTAGGCAGAAATGGCAAGAACGTGTACATGTTTGGCACATTTTTAAAAAGATTTATTTTATTTTTGTTGGAAAGTCAGATATACAGAGAGGAGAAGAGACAGAGAGGAACCTCTTCCATCCGTTGATTCACTCCCCAAGTGGCTGCAGCTGCGCCAATCCGAAGCCAGGAACCAGGAGCTTCTTCTGGTCTCCCACACAGGTAGAGGATCCCAAGGCTTTGGGCTGTCCTCAACTGCTTTCCTCAGCCACAAGCAGGGAGCTGGATGGGAAGCGGGGCTACAAGGAATATGAACCGGCGACTATATGAGATCCTGGGCGTGCAAGGCGAGGACTTGAACCACTATGTTATCATGCTGGACCCTGGGTGCCGATTCTAATCCTAGCAGCCCCACTTCCCATCCAGCTCCCTGCTTGTGGCCTGGGAAAGCAGTTGAGGAAGGCCCAAAGCCTTGGGACCCTGCACCTGCGTGGGGAGACCCGGAAGAAGCTTCAGGCCCTGGATTCAGATCGGCACAGCACCAGCTGTTGCGGTCACTTGGGGAGTGAATCATCAGACGGAAGGTATTTCTTTCTATCTCTCATCCTCTCTCTTTATATATATCTCTATCTGACTTTGCAATAAAAATAAAATAAATCTTTAAAAAAAAAGATTTAAAATGTGAAAGTATTTCCAAGTTGTTTCTTGGCTCTGAAAATGGGTGAGGGTTTAAAGTCAGAGACAGCACAATTAGAACCCGGCTCCTCCCCTGCTGGCAGGTGCCTTGGGGGAAATTTTTTCACTCCTCTCCCAGCCCTGGTGACTTCATGTTAAAAGTGTGGACAACAGGATGTTAGCCACATAGGTGAGGTTAAAGAATGCTTAGTGTGTCAAATGTACTTAGTATACTTAGTCCTTAGTGTGTAAAATGTGTTCACAGATACTACTGTTGCTGTTAATAATAATATACCTAGTAACAATGGGCTTTTACGATGACATCCACTGGCGTTTGCACATTTTGTGGCCACGTTAGATAGTGCTGGTTTACTCAGGTAGATCTAAAAAATGGTGGAGTACTCAGTGCAATAACGACTGGCATCTTAAGTCCTTTTAGGCTCTGTGAAAGCACCGCGGAGCCACAGCAGGGCAAGAAGGGCACAGCTCTGCCTTACATTCAGGGATCCCGCCAGGCATTGACAACTTCACTTCGATGTGAGAGTGCTAAATCGAGATGTGCCAGGCCTCAGGGTTCAGTTACAGGAAGTCAGAGGGTGTGGAGGAATTTCCTGGAGCTGAAGAATCTCACCCAGCAAAACAGCCCTGCAGGCAAGCAGAGAAAATGACCTTGCCACAGCCAGCAATGTGGGAGCCCGGGTGGGGTCCACACCTGTCGGAGAGCTCTGTGGGCATCGGAAGCTGGGACCAAGGACTCTCGCCTTCCAACTGTTCAGAAGGGCATCATCAAAAGCTGTCATGTGTACATTAGTGACACTGTGAGAACTCATCGATTGCAGGTGGCTAACAGCCAGCTAAGAGTTGCTCAGTGCATTATTTGTTTGCTTAAGCCTCTAAAAAGAAAGGGTGGATCTTTTCCCCTTCAGAAGTTCACTACCATTAATATGAAAGTATTCTGAAAATGGCACTGTGAGAGGCACAGCTCAGAGGAGACCATTTTGACCAGGGAGGATTGAATCTCACAGCTGTCTGGGCAAGAAAAAGAGATTTCTGCGTTGATAATGAAACATGTGACCTAGAAAGGGGCTGGCATCTGTTGCCGTGACGCACCTCCCGCACCCCGCTGCCTGGCACTGAGTGTCAGCCCCATGAATGCCACTGATGAGCCCAGCTGGGGGACGGCAGAGGACAAGGCTTCCTTAAGGATCAGCAGAAAATACCACAAAGAAGAGATTAAATATCACGAATCAGTCACAGCAGGTACACACATGGAGTACCCATAGACTGCAAGCACTCCCATCAATGGTTCTCAGGCAGGAAGAGCCCAGGGCTGCACCAGATTCACAGCAGATTCCCAAGTGATGTGGTGCTGAATGTAGAGACTTCTCTTAATGCACACTTTTTTTTTTTTTTTTAAGAACTTGTTTATTTGAAAGGCAGAGTTATATACATAAGAGAGAGAGAGAGAGATCTTCCCCCTGCTGGCTCTTTCCCCAAATGACTGCAACAGCCGGAGCTAGGCCCATCTGAAGTCAGAAGCCAGGAACTTCTGCAGAGCTTCCCATATGGGTGCAGGGACTCAAGCACTGGGGCCATCCTCCACTGCTTTCCCAAGCCATTTAGTAGGGAGCTGGATGGGAAGTGGAGCAGTCAGAACCTCAACCAGAACCCTTTCGGGACAATGGTGTCCCTCTGCATGTTGTGCTTGATGCTTGGAGGGAGACTCAGAAGAAATTTTTGGTGATTGGCCCAAATCTGAGGTTGGGTGGGAGATCTCTCTCTGTCACTCTCCCCCGCCCCCCTTAAACTTTGTCTCTCAAATAAAATTTTTAAAAAATTTAAAACAGGACCTGGCACAGTGGCCTAGCGGCTAAAGTCCTCGCCTTGAGCACTCCAGGATCCCATATGGGCACTGGTTCTAATCCCAGCAGCTCCACTTCCCATCCAGCTCCCTGCTTGTGACCTGGGAAAGCAGCTGAGGACGGCCCAAAGCCCTGGGACCCTACCACCCACGTGGGAGACCTGGAGGAGGTTCCTGGCTCCTAGCTTCAGATTGGCTCAGCACTGGCCATTGCGGCCACTTGGGGAGTGAATGAATGGACGGAAGATTCTCTCTGTCTCTCCTCCTCTCTGTATATCTGACTTTCCAGTAAAAATAAATAAATTAGGGCCTGGCACAGTGGCCTAGCGGCTAAAGTCCTCGCCTTGAGCACTCCAGGATCCCATATGGGCGCTGGTTCTAATCTCGATGGCTTCATTTCCCATCCAGCTCCCTGCTTGTGGCCTGGGAAAGCAGTTGAGGACGGCCCAAGGCTTTGGGTCCCTGCACCCTTGTGGGAGACCTGGAGGAAATTCCTGGCTCCTGGCTCCAGATCGGCTCAGCACTGGCCGTTGTGGCTCACTTGGGAAGTAAATCATCAGATGGAAGATCTTCCTCTCTGTCTCTCCTCCTCTCTGTATATCTGACTTTGTAATAAAAAAAAAATAGATAAATCTTAAACCCAGCGTTTAAAAATGAAGTGCTCAAGTTTTATGGTTAATAACTAAGGAGTGAGTCTTTAAATGTGGTTCTTTTTGACTCTGGAACCACTCCTGCCCCTCTGCAAACAAGGAAAGGTTTTCTGAATATATTCATTCTGATTTGCCTATGCATGGCTTTTTTTTTATTCTGGAAGAAAAGTTATGATTTTATCACATTTATTTATAGGTGATGGAATTATGAGTTTAAAAAATTTTTCTCCTTTTAAAATATTTTCCTTCTACCTGTATATATACATTTATCTGCCTCTCCAAAGGCTTAAATTTAATCTCGTTGTTTGTTGAATTTACCTGACAGAATGGGATAACGTTAAAATACTGATTTTCAAAGAAGAAAAAAATAACATCTCTATGCTATAAACGGGTTTAGATAATCTGTTCTTACATTGCGGACCTGTACATACGGGCAAAGACTTTGGAGCAGTTCTGAAAAGTAGAAAATGAACATTCTCCCGGTTCTTGGCCTATGCGAGTGATTCTTCCACAATTTTTTCATAGAATACACCAACATCCTACATAATTATCAGCATATAGATTGCATAAATACACAATCTTTTGCTGCTATATTTTCACCCTGTATCATAACACTGTATATCCGATAAGAGTTTTCTGTTTAGGGGTAGTTAATTAAGATTCTAACTACAGTGAAAAGCTTTCAGGTCCCTGCGCTGGCCCGGCCCCATCACTCTCCGCCAGCTCCGCCCCTGTCACTCTCCACCAGCTCCGCCTTCCGGCTCGGTCCCTGTCACTCAGCCCCGCCCCATCCTTCCCATCCGGCTCCGCTCCTGTCACTCCGCCAGCTCCGCCCTCCGCTCCGCTCCTGTAACTCCCCGCCAGCTCCGCCCCTCCGGCTCCGCCCCTCCGGCTCCGCCCCTCCGGCTCCACCCCTCCGGCTCCACCCCTCCGGCTCCGCTCTTGTCACTCACCGCCAGTTCCGCCCCTCCGGCTCCGCTCCTGTCACTCTCCACCAGCTCCGCCCCTCCGGCTCCGCCCCTCCGGCTCTGCTGCTGTGACTCTCCGCCAGTTCCGCCCCTCCGGCTCCGGCCCTGTCACTCCGCCAGCTCCGCCCCTCCGGCTCCGCCCCTCCGGCTCCGCCCCTCCGGCTCCGCCCCTCCGGCTCCGCCCCTCCGGCTCCGCTGCTGTCACTCTCCGCCAGTTCCGCCCCTCCCGCTCCGCCCCTCCCGCTCCGCTCCTGTCACTCTCTGCCGGCTCCGCCCCTCCCACTCCACCCCCACCAGCTCCGCCCCTGATGGCTCCGCCCCCCGAGAGGGCGCCTGGGAAGAGGCGGAGAACAATATGGCGGATGGCGAGGAGCCGTAAGTACCGGACTCCGCTGGCGCGCCGGGCTAGGCTGGGATGTGAGAGAGCGTGGCGGAGGGCGGTCGCCGCCCCCACCCGGGGTCCCCTTCACCGCCCCGCCTCGTCCCCTCGCCCCCCCCATCCTCTCGCGGCGCCCAGTGTGTAGCGTGTTGCTGACCCTTCTTTTATTCTCTCTTTCTTTTAGGGAGAAGAAAAGAAGGAGAATAGAGGAGCTGCTGGCTGAGAAGTTAGTGCTGCCGGGAGGCCGGGGCCCTCTCCGGGGACCCCCGCCTCCCCTCCCCCAGGCCTAGGGGACAGCCGCAGCGGGCCCAGGGGGCTGGGAGGGGGGCTGCAGGGCGCAGGCCGCGCGGCCTCCACCCCGACCCCCGCAGCCCTGGGCGCCCAGAGGGCCGCTCCGGGCTCCTGCTCCGGGGGGCGTCGGGGCCGGGGTGCACCTGCAGGGCCTCCGGGGCGCCCGAGTTCTAGGTTTTGCGGAAGGCCGGTTGTGGCCCCCCCTTCCTCCTTCCCAAATTGTCAAAGCCGCGACCTTATGAAAAGAGAATCCAACTTTAAACACACACCTAACGGGCACAAGGCCTTGTTTGTTTGTTCTTGTTTAATCTGTCATAAACACTGAGATAATAGTACTCATGGCAGACTCCCTGTGAAAATCTTTTGTCTCAGTTATTGTACTAAGCACGTCAACCATTTTTTTTTTTTGCGACATAATTGACTCTTAAAGAATGTTGACCCCCAAGAACTTATTTTTCCCACTTATGCGCCCTGTGCCTTATCAGAGGTTCAGTTTCACGCTGGTGGACAGTTTTAAAGAATGTGTTCTGACTGGGCTAACGCCACAGGACTTCTTTGCTCCCCTACCTGGGAGGGGAGGGCACCCTGCTGAGAGGTGTGGTGGGTGTGCAGTTCCTAGTGCTTTGGGAATTCTTGAGGCATCTCCCACAGAAGAGTTTCAGCTGTTCAGACTGGAATGACAAGCTCTCCCCACCTTTCGATTTCCCTCCCACTGTTGCATAAAGTGCTTACTCTATGCCAAGCGGTTTATTGAGTATCTCTTTATCCCCTAGGCCCTAAGCAGTTGCTCCCAGCAACCTGCCGAGGAGGTTCATGGCTGTTTAGTAACCGGCTCAAGGTCACAGTGCTATTAACTGTGGAACCAAACCCAACATAGATAGATTCATCAAGGAAGAACTGAATAGTACTAATACATTTGAAAGCGGAAGCTGGGGTTGATAAGAAATAAAATGAAAAATCATCACAACCAGCCATGAATCCTGACTTTGATGAGAAAATGTGTGCATTGTGTTAGAGAAGTCCCACTTTTTTTCAGTTGGCTAATCTGAAAGGTTTCCAGGCATAATTACAAGCCACAACCTTTTATACATTTTAATTTTTTTTTTATTTCAGCAGCAACGAAAACAGCCTCACTTTATTAAATTCTTTTTTGTTGTTGTTGTTTAACTTGAATCTTTGAGAATAGTGTGTCGAAGTTGTGATCATTAACAGCGATCTTTAAATGGTACTTTTCAGGCCTAGAAGGGCACTGATTCCTGAAATTGTGGCTTTGCTTTCCCCATGAGAGTGGCATTTCCTGGTCCAGCCATCTTGATACTGGGGCAAGCTGCTGTGTGATCTTTGTAAATGCCAACACGTGGAGAAGTCGGCCTCTCGTTGGCAGCAGTATCCCAAGTTTGATCGAAAGTCTCTTGAGGGACCCAGAAACAGACTGATCTTTGGTCAGGAGAATGGAAAAAAAAAAAAATTGAAAAAAAGAGAAAAACTAGCAAACAGCCAGTGGTTCTTCAAGGACCCACGTAGCAGACAAGAAGTAGGAAAGACTAAATATAAATGTGTTGAACAGTTTGAGCAGGTCTGATGTGGATACCTTTGTGTTTAGGGAAACCCTTATAACTGTAGGTATAGCTTTTTCTGACTGACCTTTGCAGCTGAATTTACTGTGTTCTGTGCAGAATGGCTGTTGATGGTGGGTGTGGGGACACTGGAGACTGGGAAGGTCGCTGGAACCATGTAAAGAAGTTCCTCGAGCGATCTGGACCCTTCACACACCCTGATTTCGACCCGAACACTGAAGTGAGACACATTTATTTTTAAATAACTGCTCTAATAGTTTTGTTTCAAAAATAGTTAAAATGCTTCCTTTTTAATTTGCTCTTATCATAAAAACTAATTTTCTCCTAAAACCTAGTATCTTGAAATACTGAATTGTACATTTACGATTTATTTGAGTGATTTTCGCATTTCTCACGTAATATAAGTTGATTTTAAGAGGAAAATAGCTGTATAACTTTTTGAGTTCTATTAGACTTAAATTTCCAATTCAAAATGATTTGAGACAAATTCCTCTTAAGTAGCCCTTTGTTGTAAGAAATTAATTTTGATAACACTATAGATATGCTTGTTTAAATTTTGCAGTTTAGATGGATTATCTTTACTTACAATTGAATGTATTTAGTTGCATGCCAAACATGAGTGCTATATAGTACCTGGCATAGAATTTATGATAGTGAGATGCCTGATCTTTTATTAGTTATAGTATGTAGAAAAATACTTTTACAGTGTTTAAATAGTTTTTTTCTTTAAAGATAATTTAAATAGAAATGTTCTAGTACGTTTAAAGTGATGTTTAATCTTTTACATTTGGCATGATGTCTTTTCTGAGTAACTTTTCTCCTTTAATATTGGATAGATCCAACAGTAAGAATTTTACCTTTTTGGGGTAGTATGCCCTAGTTTCTTCTGTTTCTGACACTTTTTGGCCTGATGATTTCAAATTACTACCTCTGCTAAATAATTGTTCCAAATTATACTTTGAAGACTTGCAGTTTTCTAAGTTGCCCTTCATAAAATCGTGTTTTATAAATTTAGCTCACTGTTGTTGCTTTTAACATCTTTAAGACCTTTTCACATCTGCTGTGCTTGATCCTCTTTTTAAAATTTTAAAATTTTTCTGTTTTTAGGGAGTCAGTTAATTTGATGTTTTCCTTCTCAAAAGTTCAGAAAAACAAACGTGAATAGTCAATTTAAAAGATATTAAAACTGAAACTCTGACATCATTGGCAGCTTTAGAATTTCTGGCGCTGCATAATTTGAACCAGTTTGTTAAGAATGAAAGGATGCTGTTTGTCCTTAACTGCATTTTTGGTTTGTCTTCTTTGTTGTCTGTTGTTGGTATTTCTGATTGTCAGCAGATTTTAATTTGGCTTTCTGTTCCTTCCAGCCTCTCCGGTTTTTGTTTGAGACATGTAAAGTTCTGGTCATTGGAGCTGGCGGCTTAGGATGTGAGCTCCTCAAGAACCTGGTAATACATGTGTATGAAATGTTCCCCCCTTGTGATAAGTAGTCTTCTTTTGTACTAAAGAATACTTTTCTATGTGTATATTTCGAGATAGGTTTAAACTTTTAAAGCAGACATGGTGAAGTAGTACAAAGCTCCCCTATATCCCAGTCAGCTTCCCCTGTTATGTTAGTATATTTGTCAGCCTGTCAGTAACACGCAGCTTACTGCTGTTACTATCTCAGATTGGTAAGATATGTGTATTACAATCTATAAAACACACCCAGCTTTTCTTACTTGCATCTTGTGTTGGTATATTGGTATTTATTTGTCACAAGGAGATTTTTTTTATTGTGATTGTGAACCTTTTCTCTTGAGCTTTCATTAGGTAAGTTTTACAAGTCAGATTCCAGATGGTAACTAAAATGATAATATAGCTGAATTTTTTTTAATACTAAAGTTCTCAATTACCTAAAGTCACCGGTAGGATTTATGTCCAATTACTCTTCTGTTCTTTGTTGAACAAATTATGATGGTTCTTGCACAGTGATCGTTAATTTCAGTGAAATAAGAGGTGATTAGGATTTTATTGCATGGCTTCAAATAATTTAGCGTCTTCTTTTGTTTCCAGCTGTGGTGGGCAGGGCATTCATTGTCCTGTTTTATGTGGTGGCAAGTGTTCAAGTTCAGGGATGTTAGATGATTATTGTGAGTATTAAATGATTACTGTGAGTGTTAAGATTACATTCTTAATCTAGGCCATCAGTCCTAAATTAAGTGTTCTTTTTCACGGTAACATTTAGCTCATTATTTGACCTCATTAGATGGTAACTTGACCATATGGTGGTAAACCCATAAAGATTTAAAAACTAAGATTTTTTTTTAAAAAAGTATTTATTTACTTTTATTTGGAAGACAGAAAGATGTCTTCCATCTTTTGTTCCTTCCTTAAATGCCCATAGTAGCCAGGGCTTTTCGGGCCAAAGGAGGTAGGAAGCAGTCTCAGGGTCAGATGTGGGTGACAGATATCTCAGTGCTTGAACCCACCAGAATGTGCATTAGTAGGAAGCCAGAAAGCAAGCTGAGCTAGTACCTGAATCCAGGCACTCCGATGTGAGTGTCCCTAGAAGTGTTTTTCTAAGATTTATTTATTTGTGTTTTTAGTAGAAAGGCGGATGCACAGAGAGGAGAGAGAGAGAGGAAGATCTTAAGTTTGCTGGTTGACTCCCCAAGTGGCCACAACTGCCAGAGCTGAACCTATCTGAAGCCAGGAGCCAGGAGCTTCTTCTAGGTCTCCTACTTGGGTGTAGGGTCCCAGGGCTTTGGGCCATCCTCTACTGCTTTCTCAGCCTATAAGCAGGGAGCTGGATGGGAAGTAGAGCAGCTAGGACACAAACTGGTGCCCATTTGGGATCTTGGTGCGTGTAAGGTGAGGATTTATCCACTAGACTATTGCACCAGGCCATGCATTTACTCCTCATAAGTAAAAAGCAGCTTTTAATAAATTCCATACTAGTTGTTTTTTAATAAAATGAGTGGGAGAACTTGTTTAGAGTTATATGCCCTACTATGGAAAAGTGAAGATGTTGCAGTCAGTTGCTTAAAACATTTAAGTAGGTAGAGAACTTCAAAAGTCAGCCAAAGGAGTTAAAGGATAAACACAGCCACATTAATTATGATAGGGGACACTAGTGTCACTCCTGTGAGTTTGGAAAAACTAAATGTGCTTCACTGTACGTAGTGCTGGGCCGGGTTCCTTGGGGGTTGTGGGTCCTCCAAGTGTGTTCTTAGTGAATCTGATGCTTCACTGGGAGACAGGTCTCACATGAGATAGGTAGCAGTGTGCTGGGTGGGTTGCTAAAATTACAGAACCTTATCATACCTGGCTATTCCATAGTGTGAGGGCCCGCCCGACATGCTGGAAAAGGTTTGCAGAGATGCAATGTGGTTTTTTTGTTTGTTTAAGATTTATTTATTTTTATTGCAAACTCAGATATACAGAGAGGAGGAGAGAGAGAGAGGGGAAGATCTTCCATCCGATGATTTACTCCCCAAGCAGCCGCAATGGCCAGTACTGCACCGATCTGAAGCTGGGAACCAGGAGCTCTTCCAGGTCTCCCACACAGGTGCAGGATCCCAAGGCTTTGGGCCATCCTTGACTGCTTTCCCAGGCCACAAGCTGGATGGGAAGTGGAGCTGCTGGGATTAGAACCAGTGCCCATATGCGATCCCGGCGCATTCAAGGCGAGGATTTTAGCTGCTAGGCCATCGTTCTGGGCCCACAACATGTTTTTGTTAGTGTTGTTTTTGTTGTTAGGTGTAATGAAGTTATAGTTCCCTTAAAGCTTAACTTTTTCCATTTTGAAGACATTAATTGCAAATGTTATATACACTGATTTTGAAATGTAGAGCAGTTGAAGATTAAATCTGAGGGTTAGTCATCAAGCAGCTTTGAAGGAGTGGCCCTATTACTGCTTTATAATAACCTTTAACAACAACAACAGCAAAAGAAACTCTCAGGGCTTTCCATTTTACATTACTTTGTTTATCACAGATATGGACACATAAGAGGTATGTCTGAAGTTTTTTATGGTTACATGCTCTCAAAGGGTCATTCTAGGAAAAAGAATTGGAAGTTAGTATTATTGATTGAGTGAATACTTACTGAACCTCTTCCCTACCTGCCAAACACCATTTTAAATGATGAAGATACAATATTGAACAACACAGACATCCCTGTGTTTGTGGGGTTCATGTTTCAGTTTAAGGAAAGGCCCAAGTAAAATATGGTAGTGTATGTTTTATAAAGAAGGGAAAGATGGAAGGCAGGTAAGGAAAGAAAAGTGTTTTTGGAAAGATGAGCAAGTGAATTGCCCCTCTGGAGGAAGACCATGCTGGTCAGAGGAGACAGCAGGTGTGGTAGCTGTGAAGTGGAAGTGCACTTGCTCAGGGATGGCAAGGAGACCATTTGAGCTGCAGCAGACACGAGCAAGGGGAAGCATTCAAGGAGTTGTAACTGGAGAGGTAACTGGTGATGAAGAGGCTCAGAGCAAATGTCACAGAAGGCCTTGGAAACAGCTGTAAGAACTCTGGATCAGGAAGTGACTTGATTGCATTAAGTTGGATCATTATGGCTGGTCATTGCAAATAGACTAAAGGAAGGAGCTGGGGATGGGGAACTACGTACGACATTGTGCTGTTGCGGATCTAACCTTTGTTTGTTGTGGGGGCATCCGAGTGCCGATCTGAGTCCTGGGAATTCTGGTCCAGCTCTTTGCTAATGTTCACAGGAAGGGAGTGGAGTGTGGGCCAAATACTTGGGTCACTGCCACACATGTGGGAGACCTGGGTGAAGTGGGCCGAGTTCCATACTGTTGTCTCACCTGGCCCATCTTTGGCTGTTGTGGCTGTTTGGGGAAGTGTAAATATTTCTCTCCTTTCCCCCTCTTTTTCTTGGATTGCTAGCTCTGGCCCTACCTCCTGATTTCTCTGTCGCTGCCTTTCGAGTAAAGTATGCACAGATTGTAATAGAGGCACTACTTTTGCTGTGATCCTCTAAGGCAGGAGATGACAGTGACTCGGAGAACAGGGTCTAATTGTGGGAAGGCGGTCAGATTATGGATATATGTTGAAGACTGAGTCAACAGAATTTGCTAATGGGGTGGTTGTGTTATGTGATATTAAAGAGGAGTTAAGGATGACCCAACAAGGTTTTTGCTTGAGAAACTTGAAAGTTGGAGCTACTGTTTGTTGAAATGAGGAATATGGAAAGGAACAGGTTTGGAGGTGGTGGTGAGCAAAGGCGATCAAGTTTGATTTTGGATGTTTAAGTCTGTGATGTCTGTTGGATGATCTTTCTCTTATAAGATGGTCTGAACAAAACACAAAGGCACTCTAAACTCTCATGAGTAAAGAGCAAAAACAGAATGAATTGGAAACCCATTTTTCAAAAGTGTTCCCATTCTTATGGGTGTAACGACCAGATGCAGTGTGCATTTTAAGGTGCTCAGTTGCTCAGAAGCGTAAAGGTCAGATGGAACGTGGCAGTCCTGGGAGTTGGCAGCAAGGAGTTGTGCTGTGGTCACTTCATCTCAGACTTGGGAGATAGTGCTTTCGTTGGTGCATTGCACAGACGTATGTGTGCTTTTGAAAAACACAGCAGTTGTCTCTTCTGAATTGTGGCATGCTTAATGTTGAGTAAACTAAAGGAGTTGATTTTTAACAGTATTTTGAAGAAAGAATTGCAGCTACAATTAACTAGTAAGACAGTAAAATGAAACTATTGCAACAGTAGTAAAATAGCAAAGCTTATGAATATATATGAATATATAAATATATATATAAAACATCCTTAATCTATAGAAATTGCGTTTTCTGTTGGTTATAGATGTTTTGAAATTAAATGGTTACACATATTTTATTTGAAATATAGATTTCATATACTTTGCAAGACTTTTTAGCTATCAAGTACAATGTCACATAATTTATTACTGAGAATTTGTGGATGTAGGACTACATTGAAAGCAAATACTAAGTTTTCACATGTGAAAGACCCTCCTCATTGGTTGTTTTTATTCCTGCAGGCTTTGTCTGGTTTTAGACAGATTCATGTCATAGACATGGACACTGTCGATGTTTCCAATCTCAATAGGCAGTTCTTATTTAGGTAAGTTATAGTATGTTAGTTGTTTTTCTTAAACGCTTAACATCATCTGAACTTGAGCTTATTTGAATTTTAGTAAGTAAAAACTATGGAGAGGGTTATACCAATTTTATTTGAAAAGTAAAACTATCACTTCCATTTTAGATACAATTTTGGTTGTTCTGGTAAAAACAGTTTTGTAAGAAAGCAGTTTTTATTTTTGTTTTTAAATCTTTTGAAAAGAAAAAAAATAAACACAGGAAAATGAGTCGTCCTGCGCTATTTACTCTCACAGTGGTTGTGCCCTGAATATTTGGGGTACGTTTCTTTTCGGCCTATTGATCTCATAAGAGAATGGTCCCTGAACTGAAGACTCTCTTGAGATATTTTATTAAACTTTAAAATGTTTGTGGAAAATGGAATTATAAGAAAAATGAGCTTATCGTAGGGTGGCCATTTAGCCTGGTGTTTAAGAAGCGGACATCCTATATGGGAGTGCCTGGGCTTGGTAGTTAGCTCCTGCTGCCAGCGTCCTGCCGCCATGGACTCGGGAGGCTGCAGCGATGCTCAGGCCGCTGGGCCCCTGCCACCCTCATGAGAGAGCCTGATTCCATTCCTAGCTTGCAGCATTAGCTCAGCGTGGCCTTGGCTGTTTTGAGCCTTTTGGAAGTGAACAGCACTTTTCTCTCTTTCTTCTCTCTGTGTTTGAGTCTCTAATAAAATATTGTGAGGCCTTAAATTTTGAAATCATCGCTTTTTTTTTTAATAACACATTTTTTAAAAGATTTATTTATTTTTATTGGGAAGGCAGATATATGGAGAGGAGATACAGAGACAAAGATCTTCCATCTGCTGGTTCACTTCCCAAGTGGCCACAACCGCCAGAGCTAAGCTGGTCTGAAGCCAGAAGCCAGGAGCTAGGAGCTTCTTCCAGGTCTCTCACGTGGGAGCAGGGTCCAGAGGCCTTGGGCCTTCTTCTACTGCTTTCCCAGGCCACAAACAGGGACTTGGAAGAAGGTGGAGCACCTGGGACGCAAATTTGCACCCATATGGGATCCTGGCTTGTGCCAGGTGAGGATTTAGCCACTAGGCTACCGTGCTGGGTCCTTAGTAGTACACATTTTTTATGTACTCTTTGAAGACTCACTGGTTGCATGAATTTCAAATTTATTGTACCCAAATGAGCTTTTGCCTTTCAACTCCTTTTTCTACAAGCTTTTTGAATTACCTTGTGTTAGCCACTTAAGAGCCAAAATTGAAATGATGATTATGGAACAATTAAATATTGGATTGGTTGGAGCTTTTTATACAAGGAAAATTAACATGGACCATTCTATTTAAGATATCTTAGGCTGAGCATTCTGATTCTCTTATCCTGGTGATGATAAACTAGCAGTCTGCACAGAAATCATGTAGGCATTCTGCTGTGCCTTTCCTGTGACAGCACGTAGACTATGTGACTTCAACTGCGTCTTGCCAGTCCATCCACTTATATAACTAATGAGACTTCTGTGTAGGATAATTGAAGCAATGCTGAAATCAAGTTCTCTAATTTGTAGTAAGATGCTATTCAATGCAAGTTAAAACAGCAAGAGTAAAGCTCTCAGCAGATTTGAACCAAAAGCAGTGCTTGTGTTGAAGGAAGCAAACTGATCTGTTTCAAGAGTTTCACTTTGAAAGTCCGGTTTGAAATGAAGTGTCTGACGAGCACATTAGATTGGCTGTTTTCAAGCTGTTTTCTCTGCTGTAAAAGGAAGGGATTCACAATCAAAATCATATAACCACGTTGTTCCACCTGGTAGTGGTCTGGTGGGTACAACAGGCATGTGTGTAACGAGAAATGTGCTACAGACAAGAAGCAGTAACGAAGTTCTGTGCGTTTGTGAAGGGCTGATTACTCCCTGACAGGAGGAGGAAGCATCAGCAAATAAGATATCATGTGTATAAAGATTGGAAGTGGCATCAGTGCCCACTGCTGTCTGTATCCAAGGTTATTGTCTTAAGAATGATTTTTTAAGACTTTGTATTTTTAAGTTTCTTAAAAATGGGGGGAACATTTGCGATTTTAGGTAATTCTTTTGAAATTGTTTTTTTTTTTTTTTAAATATGTAGTTGCAACTATATAAGCAACCCAGCTTTTTCCGCGTGGTCAGCGCAGTGGGACCAGAGGAGTATCACTAACACTTCGTGCCTCTCTTAACAGGAATCGTGCTGTGTGGTTTCAGCAAAGACCCACACAGAAACTAATACTTTGAGGTTTTAAGGTTGAAAGGGGATAAATACCTGGAAAGCTCTGGTCTTTGGGGTGATTTTTACACTGGGAAATAGAGTAGGAACTACCCAGAAAACCTACCATTACACTTCACCTGGGGGGAAAAGCACTGTTTATATCTTTGTGTAAGACATGGTTCATTAAATTTGTGATAATTTGAATCATCACTAGTATTGACATTGGGCTGGGTACTTATTCATCAGAGTTTTTACTGATATGCAAAGTGCTTTGGAAAAGATATTATTTCCTGATGTCTTATAAATTCACTGTGGATTTATGTTTGTGTTTAAAAGTAGACTATGTAGTTTAAACAAGTTTAAATACTGAATGATAATTTAAAGATTTTTCCTATAGGCCCGGAGATGTTGGAAGACCCAAGGCTGAAGTTGCTGCAGAATTTCTAAATAACAGGATTCCTAATTGCAATGTAGTTCCGTATCCTTTTGAAAAGCAATTAAGTTTTTTTTTTTTTTTTAATTTTTATTGAAAAGGTGGATATACAGAGAGGAGAGACAGAGAGGAAGATCTTCTGTCCGATGATTCACTCCCCAGGTGGCCGCAACGGCTGGAGCTGAGTCAATCCGAAGCCAGGAGCCCCTTCCGGGTTTCCCACGTGGATGCAGAGTCCCAAAGCTTTGGGCCGTCCTCGATTGCTTTCCTGGGCCACAGGCCGGGAACCGGATGGGAAGTGGGGCTGCTAGGATTAGAACCGACGCCCATATGGGATCCCAGGTATGCAAGGCAAGGACCTTAACCACTGCGCATCGTGCCAGGCCCAAAGCAATTAAGTTTTAAGGCTTTTTAAAGAAAAGATTATTTTTTCATTCATTGTTCATTTGTTTATTGTTAACTTGGCAGGTAGAATGACAGAGAGAGGAGAGACCTAATGATTTTGCATCTGCTTGTTGATTTCCCAAATGCTTACAAGAGCCAGGCCTGGGCCAGACTAAACTAGAATGTATAACTCCCTCTGGGTGACAGAGGTCCAAGCCCTTGGGACCCTGCACACACCCTGGCTCCTGGCTTTGAATCAGCTCAGCTCAGGCTGTTGCTACCACTTGCGGAGTGCACCGGCTGATGGGAGATCGTGGTCTCTCCTCCTCTCTGTAATTCTGCCTTTGCAATAAAAGTAAATAAATCTTAAAAAGAAAAAAAAAAAAAAAGGAAAACAAAAAGTCAGTGTTACAGAGGAGAGAAAGAGTGAGAGATTGCCCATCAATCACTCTCAAGGTGGCTACAGCAGCTGGTGCTGTGCCAGGCTGGGGCACGAGGCAGGGGTTTTCGGTCTGGTCTCCTATTGGGGTGACAGGGCCCATACACTTGGTCCATCTTCTACTGCTTTTTCTAGGCACATTAAGCAGAGAGATCTCCCATCCACTAGTTCACACCCCAAATGACCATGAAGGTCAGAGCTAAGCCAATCTGAAGCCAGGAGCCAGGAGCTTCTTCTGAGTTTCCCATGCGGATGCAGGGTCCCAAAGCTTTGGGCCATCTCTATTGCTTTCCCAGATCATAAGCAGGGAGCTGGAAGGGAAGTGGAGCAGCCAGAACATGAACTGGCGCCCATATGGGATCCCAACTCATGCTAGGTGAGTTTAGCCTCTGGGTTATCATGCTGGGCCCTAGTGCACATCTGCTAAGGATGTGTGTCCCCAGAGAGGGGTGCCAAGTCCATCATCTGGATGCCTGGTGAAAGAGCAGATCTGTTAAAGCCAGGCATGCTCTTGGATGGTGGTTTGTGGCATCTTCAGTTCCTCCTGGCAATTCACGTAGTGGGTCTGGACGACGAGACTCATGATTTTATTTTCGCAGTTCAGAGCACACAGTACTGTGTGGGTCCTAGGCCCAAGAATGGCCAGTGATAGCCACTGTTGAGAGCCTTTCAATGGCAGCATAAGGAGGTGTATTTTCTACCTGTTAGAGAGGCAGAAAATAAGGCAAAACTAGTCCTTCATCTATGAGGATCTGATTCTCAGAGCTGTCATGTCGTAGCCATCATGGCCCTGGCTTTTGAGGTAACCTTGGATTACTGCTGCTGCTGATTTTAGTCTGGAGGGTCATAATTCAGAGTCAGTGGCCCCGTTATTCTGGTGTGTGATGGAGGCTGGCCTTGGTGAAGTGGGTGTGGAGAAAGTCGCACTGTGAGCCAGGAAGCAGAGGAAAATAACACTTATAAAACACTCATGCTTGGGCCCGGCTCTGAGGCGTAGTGACTAAAGTCCTCCCCTTCAACGCACCAGGATCCTATATGAGTGTCGGTTCTAATCCTAGCAGCCCTGCTTCCCATCCAGCTCCCTGCTTGTGGCTTGAGAAAGCAGTGGAGGACGGCCCAAAGCTTTGGGATCCTGCATCCGTGTGGGAGACCCGGAAGAGCTCCTGGCTTCGGATCAGCACAGTTCCGGCCACTGCAGTCACTTGAAGAGTGACTCATCGGACAGAAGATCTTCCTCTCTGTCTCTCCTCCTCTTTATTGTATATCTGACTTTGCAATAAAAATAAATAAATCTTTTTAAAAAAAACAAAAAAAAATTTATGCTCTATTATGTGAATTAGGATGGTTTTTAAAAATTTAATAGGAAACCAGGAAACGGGATTTTTTGGTAGGGAATCATTGAGAAGTATATTTCCATACAAAGCAAACATGTAGAAACTGAAATTTAAAATGCCATTTACAACTGCTGGAAAAGAGAAACAGATGTGTATCAGGTAGGTGCTTGTACACTGAAACTTCAAAATGCTGCTAAGAGAAAGATATGCAGGCCCGGCGGCGTGGCCTAGCAGCCAAAATCCTCGCTTTGAACGCGCCAGGATCCCATATGGGCGCCGGTTCTAATCCCAGCAGCTCCACTTCCCATCCAGCTTGTGGCCTGGGAAAGCAGTCGAGGACGATCCAAAGCTTTGGGACCCTGCACCCGTGTGGGAGACCTGGAAGAGCTCCTGGTTCCCGGCTTTGGATCGCTGCAGTACTAGCTGTTGGGCTCACTTGGGGAGTGAATCATCGGATGGAAGATCTTCCTCTCTGTCTTTCCTCCTCTCTGCATATCTGACTTTCCAATAAAAATCAATAAATCTTTAAAAAAAGAGAGAAAGATATGAATATGAATACTAGAAAAAACCTGAAATGGCTGCATGCAATTGTGACTAACTGATTTTTGACAAAGATGCAAAATCGCTCAATGGAGGAAGGATTGTTTCCTCATCAAATCGCACTGGAGCAATTGGATATCCATAGGCGACACATAAAACCTAAGCCTCACACCTTCTATAATAATGAATTCCAACTGGGTCGTCAAACGTGTAAGCATAGGATGTGAAACTAAAATCTTCGAATACATATTTTGAAGGAATGTGTGATCAAGGTGCCTGTGTTCCAGCTAGGAGCGCCTAGTAGTAGCTGCTCATTCTAGCTGTTTGCTCCTGCAGGCTCATGAAATTGGGTCCCTGCTAACTCTGGAAGACCTAGACTGAGTTGCCATCTCCTGGTTTTTCCCTAGCCTGTCCCCTTGCCTCTTCTGGGCATTTGGGGAGTGAACCAGTGGAAGATCTGGCCGGCCGTTGGGGCATACAGGTTAAGCGGTGATTTAGGAGAGCCTGGGTTAAGTCCCAGCTATTCTGGTTTTCCAGTCCAGCTTCCTGCTAATGTGTCCCAGTGCCTTGATTCCTACTTCCCAAATGGGAGACCTGGATGGAGTTCCTGGTTCCTGGCTTTAGTATGGTTTAGGCTAGGTTGCTACAGGCTTTTGGGGTGCAAACCAGCTGATTTAAGATATCTCTCACTCTGCCTTTTAAATAAATACATTAAAACACCTTTTTTTTTTTTTAACATTCGGTTTTATTGGAAAGGCAGATATACAAAGAGCAGGAGAGACAGAGGAAGATCTTCCATCTATTGATTCAGTCCCCAAGCAGCGCAATTGTTGGAGCTGAGCCAATCAGGACCCAGGACCCAGGAGCCAGAAGCCTCTTCCAGGTCTCCCCTGTGGGTGCAGGGTCCCAAAACTTTGGGGTCATCCTCGACTGCTTTCCCAGGCCACAAGCAGGGAGCTGGATGGGAAGCGAGGCCTGCTGGGATTAGAACCGGTGCCCATATGGGATCCCAGTACATTCAAGGTGAGGACTTTAGCTGCTATGCTATCACGCCGAACCCTAAAAAAAAAATTTTTTAAGTGAAAAAATAGAAGATCTCTGGCAGCAAGGGCTTTGTGAAGAATCCTTAGACCACACTGAAAATATGACCTGTAGAAGAAAAACAATGACAAGCGCTGACTCCATCAAATATAAAAACTTGCTTTATGAATGACCCTCTTATGAAGATAAAAAGACAAGCTATGGACTGGAGAAAATAGCAGTAAAGCAGTGCCAGAAGACCTGCATCTGGAATACATGAAGAACTCCAAACTCAACATTGAAACCGTGCAGAAGATGCTATAGGGTATTTTTGTAAAACAGATGGGAAAAGTACACATTGAAAGATGTTTAATATCAAATAAAAAAATATCAAAGATGTACAGAGGAGAGACAAAGAGAAAGACCTTCCATAAGCTCCCTAACTCCCCAGGTAGCCACAGTGGTTGGAGTGGAGCTGATCCGAAACGAGGAGACAGGAGCTTCTTCCCGGTCGCCCACGCAGGTGCAGGGTCCCAAGGCTTTGGGGTCATCCTCGACTGCTTTCCTAGGCCACAAGCAGGGAGCTGGATGGGAAGTAGAACAGCTGGGACACAAACTGGTGCCCATATGGAATTCTGGTGCATACAAGGCAAGAACTTCAGCACTAGGCTACAGCGTTGGGCCCTGTTTCTTTTGATCTAGCTTTAGCTTATATCTCCTGCTTGTCTAGCATTCGGAGGGAATAAAATCTGGCATGGGTGAGAATTAAAATTTATTATTTTTTTTAAATACTTGCAGGCAAAAATTAAAAACAGAACAAGCATAATATATATTTCACGATTCATGTTGCTTTTGAAACTGTAGCATGGACTTTTTAAATATAGAGCAGGGATATGATGTGTGTTTTTTTTTTAATTGCTCCTCTAAAAATTTGAAACCGTTTTTAATGCATAAATGTACATAAGCGTGGGACTGGCATGGTAGCAGTGTGCGCCTAGCCACCCCCTGCAGTGTGGGTTTCCCTTGTTGGAGCAATGGTTTGGGTCTTGGCTGCTCTGCTTCCTCTCCATCTCCCTGCTAATGTGTGGGAATGCCAGAGATGACCCAACTGCTTGGGCCCAAGTGCTTCCGTTCCTGCTACCTTCGAGGGAGACCCAATGGAGTTTGTGACTCCAGGCCTCTGCCTGGCCCAGCCCTGGCATTTATGGCTCTTTAAAGGAGTAAACCAATATTTGGGAGATAGGTTGATTTCATTCTCTCCTTGAAATAAATGCTAACTTAATTATTTTTGAACGAGTTATTTGTATATTTTTAAAATCACAGAGTTGCAGGGAGCTGGACTGGAAATGGATCAGGCAGGACTTGAACCTGGTGTCCCCTACAGGATTGCCAGCATGGCAGGCAGCAGCTTCACCCTCTACACTGTAACATGAGCCCCAATATATAGATCTTAAAAAAAAAAAAAAAGAAGTGCTTATGTTTTGTCTAATGTGACACCAATTCTGTTGTCTTTGCGATGGTTTTCTTTTTTGGTAAGAGAGTGCACTTGCTCGGCCAGGCATCTCAGGAAAGGGCTGAGACCCACAGGCGCTTCCGAGTGGGTTTCTCTGCCGCGTCCAGACACAGAAAGAACTGGTTGTAGGATCTGATACCGGAAAAGGAGAGACTTGCCATCCGAGTTAAACGAAACAGGCAGAAACAATTCCGACCTTATCTCCCAATCCCCAGAGAAAACCAACAGTATAAAATCATTAGCACTGAAAAAAAAAAAAAAGCTCTTTGCATCTTCTGCAATTTTCTTAAAATGAGCTCTGTAATAACTTAAAACTACTTATTATATAAGAACTGTTAAGTGTATGTTCCTTTCGCTAAGCAAACAGCATTTCCTCTTGGTGCTGATAATTGAGACCATATCTTTCCTGGGGCTTTTGCTTTCAAAATAGAAAGTTCAGTGTGATATGGGGGATTAGAAAAACGGACAGAGGGGGAACTGTCGAAAATAGTTTTTGTCAGAGAGAAGCTATGCTCGTTTTGTCAGAGTTCCTTGTTTTCTGCTGAGATCATTCATTGTTTTAAATATTTTTAGTGCGTAATTTGTGGCATTATTATGAAAATCGTTTTAGAAATATAAAAATTTAGCAGCTTAAATTCCTTTACTCCTGTCCAGATATTTCAACAAGATTCAAGACTTCGATGACACCTTTTATCGACGTAAGTTGTTCTATTTGAAATTTAACATTTGTTAGATTCTTAAAAATTTTAAATTGCTAAGTATATATAATATTTTAAAATTTGAACACTAGTAGCTATCGAAGGCTTTATTTCTTTAGTTACTTCTCTCACTATCGGCTTTTCAGGAAGGCTGTGGACGGAGTGAAAAGATATTTTAATTCTTACTTGAGATCTCTATATTTTTTACTGCAGATTTGAATGAAAATTCCTAAAGGGTTAGAAACTGTGTTTATAGCAAAGAACAAGTTTATTTCCTAGAAAATGAGTTATTTTGTGTAATTTTAAGCTTTCTGGAGCACTTGTTGGCTCATAGCAAAATGGAGTCCTCTTAGACGCGCGTCCCTGCACATGCGCAGCCTGCCCCGCTCGTATACCATCTTCCTGCAGTCACATCTCCCGTGTGTTATGAACTGAACTGACAAGTCATTATGCAGCTGTACTTTCAGACTGATTTGCTGTATTTTTTTTCTCCTAGAATTTCACATTATTGTCTGTGGACTGGATTCCATCATTGCCAGAAGGTGGATAAATGGCATGCTGGTAAAGACTTTAGTCCTGTTATCTGTCTCTCAACTTCCTGCTGCTGCTGCTGCTGGCATGCAACAAATTAGAATTGCATATTACATGTTTTTAAATTGAGAATTTATTATTTCATTTTGAGTTCAATAAATGTCACTGTTACATCATTGATTTTTCAGTTTAGATAGAAGCTATTTACATTATGACCCCTTATTTGGTGCATGGATTACACCTCACTTCCACAGCTAATTCAGAATTACTTGGAAACATGCCCCTCTTTTTGAATTCTTATGCCTTCTCCTTTTAAATACTTCAAATGGTTTTTCTAGATATCTCTTCTGAACTATGAAGAGGAGGGGTTAGATACACGCTCCATTGTCCCTTTGATAGATGGGGGAACAGAAGGTTTTAAAGGAAATGCCCGGGTGATTCTGCCTGGAATGACTGCTTGTATTGAATGCACGCTGGAACTTTATCCACCACAGGTAATCAGAAAACCACCGCATTCCTTTTATGGTGTTTGGGGTGGGCTGAGAGAGTTGCATTCTTTTTGTTCTTGTTTTTTAGATTTATTTATGTTCATTGCAAAGTCAGATACACAGAGAGGAGAGACAGAGAGGAGGATCTTCTGTCCGATGATTCACTCCCCAAGTGAGTAAAATGCTGGTGCTGTGCTGATCCAAAGCCAGGAGCCAGGAGCTTCTTCCAGATCTCCCATGGGCTTTGGGCCGTCCTTGACTGCTTTCCCAGGCCACCAGCAGGGAGCTGGATAGGAAGTGGAGCTGCCGGGATTAGAACCAGTGCCTATATGAGATCCTGGCGCGTTCAAAGCGAGGACTTTAGCTGCTAGGTCACCGCGGCCGGGCACAGTGTTATTTGCTTTTAAGATTCATTTATTTTTATCAGGAAATCAAATTTGCAAAGAGAAGAAACAGAGAGAAAGATCCTCCTTCCACTGGTTCCCTAAACAGCTGTAGTGGCTGCAGCCGAGCCGTTCTGAAGCCAGGAGCCAGGAGCTTCTTCCAAGTCTTCCACAAGGGTGCAGGTTCCAAAGGCTTTGAAGAGTCCTGGACTGCTTTCTCAGGCCACAAGCAGGGAACTGGATGGGAAGTGGAGCAGCTGGGATTAGAACTGATGCCCCTATGAGATCCCAGCACATAAAAGGCGAGGACTTTAGCTACTAGGCTACTGCGCCAGGCCCAAGAGTTAGTCTAGTTAATATTTAGGTTTAGTTAATATTTAGGATTCAGTTAGAGGTAACCATGGTTTTACAATTATACTAATAAGGTAGTAAAATGTGAGGAAAATATGCTTTTATAGTTTCTTTTTATTGGTGTTCTATTTGAGATCAAGGGCAGATACAAAGCTATGTCAGGTTAGAGGTGTAATTTATTGGTTATCAGCCATAAACTATCCCCCATTTTTCTGCATTTTGACTTTACATAATTTAGCTTTCCCCGATTACGGTTTGAAAATATCATATGAAAAGATACAGCATTAAATCCTTTTAAATTCTAGTAGTTTTGATTTATCTGCCATCATCAGTAGCATGATGACATATTTCACCATCCTTCTTCGTATCACCTGTCCCGTCCCGTCCTGCTCTCTTGGCACATCCATCCCATCAACACTACCTGCCTGTTCGTCACGAGTGGCCCTGTCGGCTGTCACGTCAGCCGTTGAGGTCGGTGTGCCAGAAATCCCCAGAAGATCACTGAGTCTGAAGTCGGTGCTGACACTTAAAGGGCAGTGTTTTCAGGTTAACCTAGGTCTCCCAGCCACCCAGCCCACAGAGCAGCAGGGCCGGGCAGGGGAAGGGCAGCTGCAGCCTAGGCTGCAGCACGAACAGCAAGGCAGAAAAAGAGAGCAAGGTTCCACAGCACAGAGTTCTTACACATTTCAGGACAGTTCCATATAATTGTACAGTCATGATTGGGTCAGTTTTAACTGTTTACTTTCAAAAAGATCAAGTTGGCAGGCTTCTTTTGGTACATTTGAAGCCAGCAACTTTCAAAAGGTACAAACTGATGAGCTACAGGGCAGTGGGTCTTTTCCAACATCAGGGAGTGCTCTTCTTAAGTGACCTGCCAGGTGACCTGCCGCGTGTCACATAGACTGGCAGGCCTGGAGTTGACACAGCCCCCAGCCGAGCAATTAAGGCAGATCACAAAAGCAGAAAACATCAAGGTTCTTCAAAGTGTCACAGTGCTTGTGTTCAAGTAACCTGTATTTTACTTAATATGCAAGGATGTAGCCACTAGGCTATTGCACTGAGCCCAATTTCTTACTGGATCTAGTTTACAAATTAAACACTCATGTTTAGGAAAACACACACAGTCCATGTAGGATTTGTGGCTGTCTGTGATTTCAGGTAAGCCCTGGGAATCTTGAAATATATTTTAAGGAAGATAAGATACAAAGATGGAGGTGTTTGATCTATATAATCTTTGTAAAGAACAGTTGAAAATTTTAAGAAGTAGAGGCTTTTTTATGAGTATGCATTTATAATTGATTTAACTCTGCATATGCTTTTGTTTTGCTTCGTAAGTTTCTAAATGTCTGGTTGATCTAATGCAGTACTCATATTTGAGAATGTATTGAGCACTTTTTTTCTCATGTTCTAACAAAGAATAAAATGTGGGGCAAATCTGGGGCAAATCTGGGGTCTGGCACAATGGCTCAGTTGGCTAGTGCTCTTTCTGCAAGCACCAGGATCTCATATGGTTGCCAGTTCATGTCCCTGCTGCTCCACTTCCCATCCGGCTCCCTGCTTGTGGCCTGGGAAATCAGCAGAGGATGGCCCAATGCCTTGGGACCCTGCATCCATGTGGGAGACCCGGAAGAGGCTCCTGGATTCAGATTGGCTCAGCTGCAGCTGTCGCAGCTATTTGAGGAGTGAAGAAGCAGAAGATGAAGATCTTTCTGCCTCTCATTCCTTTGTAAATCGGCCTTTCCATTAAAAACAGATGCTATGTCTGAGGTAAGCTACAAGATTGAGAACTGATGGGACAAATATTTATAAGTAGATCATCCTTAGGTGAGTGAGGTGAGTTGGCTGCTTCCTGTTGGTTTTAGAAGCCTTATTAATGTGCGTACTGGCGTGGAGAGCGGAGATGAATTATAAGAAACAATTACAAACTAAATCATAACTGTGTTACATTTTAAAATCATTCATCATTTGCACTTCACTAAAAGAGATAAACTGTGATTTTTAGGTTAATTTTCCCATGTGTACCATTGCGTCTATGCCCAGGCTACCAGAGCACTGTATCGAGTATGTAAGGATGCTGCAGTGGCCGAAGGAGCAGCCTTTTGGAGGTAACATAGATGTAGATTTCATAAAAAAATTTTTTATCCATAACTTTCCTTATGGATAGTTTTGTTAAAAAAAATTGCTTTTTGATTACATACTTTGCTTCTTTTTTCTTACCAGACGGAACGGCATTAGATGGGGATGACCCTGAACACATTCAGTGGATTTTCCAAAAGTCCTTAGAGAGAGCATCGCAGTATAACATTACGGGTGTGACGTACAGACTCACTCAAGGTAAGGCGGTCACTCACCATGAATGATGATTTCTCAGGGCATCGTTTTTGTTAGGCCTGATGTGTCTTGAGGGAAGTAATTGATAAATGACTTTAGATCGCATCCTCCATATAAGATCCAGCAAAGGTACCATGGAAATAACAGGTACCCCACAAATAGGAGAGGACCAAGTTCAGCTAGAAATCATTTAGTAAAGTTGTGGGTTAGTATCTTTGGACTGGAGGAGACTCTAAATCTTCCAAGTTAAACCAACTACTTTGTCTTTCACGAAAAGAAATTCGTCACCTCATGAGGACAGTCTGTTTCATATTCTGACACAAGTGAATAGACAGTTTATGCTATACAAAAACCATTACCTTTTGTGTCTGAGTATTGTCCTGGTACAAAATATAATTCCCTTTTAAGTAATAATTTATAAAACACTGAGTATAGGGCCTGGTGCAGTAGCCTAACAGCTAAAGTCCTTGCCTTGAATGTGCCAGGATCCCATATGGGCACCGGTTCTAATCCTGGCAGCTCCGCTTCCTATCCAGCCTCCTGCTTGTAGCCTGGGAAAGCAGTGGAGGATGGCCCCAAGCCTTTGGGACCCTGCACCTGCATGGGGAGGCCAGGAGGAAGTTCCTGGCTCCTGGCTTTGGATCGGTGCAGCTCCGGCCATTGCAGCCACTTGGGCAGTGAATCATCGGACAGAAGATCTTCCTCTGTTTTTCCTCCTCTCTGTATATCTGACTTTCCAATGTAAATAGATAAATCTTTAAAAAAAATACTGAGGATAGAGCTGTAGGCTTAATCCCTCTAGAACTGACTTTAAAAGGAAGAGACTAGTCAATCAACCATAAATAAAATACAATGAAAATACCATTTTTCAGAGGGTCCTGTTCACTTGTCACATTAGTCCTGTATTATTTGAGTGGGTAACTTAAGTCAAAAAGCCCCTTTGCCAAGTAATTTGTTGTTGTTGTTAAAGATTTATTTTATTTGATTGAGGGAGAGACAGAGTGAGATTTTCCATGGCTGGTTCACTCCTCAAATGCCCACAGTCGGCCAGAGCTGCACCAGTCTGAAGCCAGGAGCTTCTTCGGTCTCTCACATGGGTGCAGCAGCCTAGGGTATGGGTCAGGCTTCACTGCTTTCCAGGCACATTAGCAGAGAGTGGAATCAAAAGTCGCACAGCCAGGACTTGAACCTGTACCCATATAGGATGCTAGAAGAGCAGGTGGTAACTTTACCTGCTTGTGTCACAGCACCAGGGTCAGAACTGAAGGATTTAAGACAGTAAGGGCTACGTACTCGATTGAAAAACGTAAAATGGACCAAAGAGACTGAAAGCTGTGTATTGTATGTGAGGAAAGGGATCATCAGGAATAGAAATGAGCCAAGTAAGATACGCTACCATCCAGAGCAGTGAGAAGTTGAGAAGTGAAGTAGACCCTCCAGGAAAAGTGGTTTTAAAACCTGATGTGGGCCCCGGCGCAGTGGCGCAAGTGGTTAAAGGTGCTCGCCTTGCACACCCGGGATCCCATATGGGCGCCGGTTCTAATCCCGGCAGCCCCGCTTCCCTTCCAGCTCCCTGCCTGTGGCCTGGGAAAGCAGTCGAGGACGGCCCAAAGCTTTGGGAACCTGCACCCGCGTGGGAGACCCGGAAGAGGCTCCTGGCTTTGGATCGGCATAGCATCGGCCTGTTGCGCTCACTTGGGGAGTGAATCATCGGATGGAAGATCTTCCTCTCTGTCTCTCCTCTCTGTATATCCGCCTTTCCAATGAAAAAATAATAAAAATAAATCTTTAAAAAAAAAAAAACCTGATGTGATTTCAGAAGTCCAGTAGCAGAGAACTAATTAAGAACTGGAAAAGGCCGTGTCCCCGCAATCAGAATACATGCACAGATGTGGCAGTCACCGATGTTGGTTCCCTTCGTTGTCGAGGTGAAAGCAGCCCTGTGAGGAAAGGCCGCAGCATCGGTGATGGGGAAGCCTGAGTCAGCTGCGTGTGCCTTTCCAGGGAACTGCAGTGGCGGGTGGTCAGTCTGTGCAAGGGAATGCATGTGCTACAGAAGGCCTCTTCCAGCCTTTCAGCTTGATTCTATAAATGTCTTATACTCAGCTCCCTGAGAATTTTTTCTGTAAAGATTTTTTTTTTTTTGGAAAATTATTCTTACAGGAGGCAGTATGACAGAGAGAAAGAGAGGCCCAGTGAGAGGTCATTCTCTGTTAGTTCACTTCCCAAATATCCTCAAGAGCCAAAGGTAGGACATCCCAAAGCCAGGAGCCAGGGGCTTCAGCCAGCCTTCCTGTGTGCGTGGCAGGAAGCTGTATACTTCAGCTGGCAGTCACTGCTTCCCACGTACACTAGCAGGAAGCGGAAATGGAAACATGACAAAGCTGGGCGTCTTAAGTCAGGCACTCTGCTGATGTGATGTGGGTCTCCCAGGTAGCAGCTTAACGTGCTGCACCACACCAAAGCCTGTGAAGGTTCTACACAGAGTTTATGGAACATGGAATTAAAGTATAATTTATTTAGCTGCAAAATCTTCCAAAATCTGTGCATGATTTGTAATTTCTTGAAAGGTTGTTCTATTCGAAAGAGTTACAGAGAGAGGCAGCCAGACAGTGAGAGATCTTCCTGTGAGCTTCTGAGCCCTCCCCCTCCTGAGGGCAGGTCATTCAGTGAAAGTTTTTCTAGCTCCAAAGGGGAGAGGGTGGTGCTCTAGATCTCAGGAGCACAGTTACTTTTCCAAACAACTGGTTTAGGATTTTTTCTAACAAGATAGCATTGTCTGACACAGACATCTGAACTTTACCTTTCTGTGGCCAGGCACTTTCTGGTTCCTCTTTTGTTAAACCAGACTGTTATTTGTCTTGTTTGACTGACTTTTTCTGAAACGAACAATTGGAATGTAGTTATAAAATGGCATGTTTATTTTGCATCTTAAAGATTATTTTGTTCAAACATAAAAGATGTTTAAAATGGAGCTTTGTTCATTCCTGATTGTGACTACTGATGCAAAAAATATCTGATAGACCACCATAATATTGTATGTAGCTCGGGTTATAGTGAAACATGATATGGGGCAGTTTTTCTTTTTGTTATTTTTTATATTGAATGTGTGTCAAAGAATGTATACTTCGGGACATGTTGAGGAGGTGTGCCATCTGTTTACTAGGTGTATTGCTATGAATAAGTTATTTAACTTTTTCAGCCTCATTTTCCTTACCTTTAAATCAGAGTAATAAGGGTCCAGTGTGTGTGGTTAAGGGCAGTGGATTGAGCTGCCACTTTAGACACGTGAATCCTGTATTGGTTATGGCCTGGATTTTCTACTTCTGATTCAACTGTTTCTTTTTAGATGTGTATTTGTTTTTATTTGGAAGGCACAGTTACAGCAGAGAAGGAGAGACAGAGATCTCCTAACCACTGATTTACTCCTTAAATAGCTGAAGCGGCTGGAGCTGGCCCTGTCTAAACCAAGGAACCAGAATCATGTCTGGGTCTCCCATGTAGGAGCAGGGTCCCAATGACTTGGGCCATCCTCTGCTGCTTTCCCAGGCCTTTAGCAGAGAGGTGGATCAGAACTGGAACAGCTAGGACTGGCTTTGGCACCTATGTGGGATGCAAGCACTACACAGAGCATCTTTACCTAGTATAGCACCGTGCCAGCTCCCAGGTCCCTGTTGATGCTTTCTGGAAGCAGCAGATGATGTATTAAGAACTTGAGCCTATGCCACCCATATGGGAGACCTGAATAGAATTCCTGAATTCTGGCTCCATCCTGTTTCAACTCCAGCTATTGAGGCCATCAGGAGAATGAACCAGCAAATGGAATGTTTCTCTCTCTCTCTCTCTCTCTCTTTTTAAAATAAATAAGTCTTCAAAAACAACTACACCTACGCACACTATGAAACTCAAATATCTTTGGGCCTGGTGTGATGACTCAATGGCTAAATTCTCACCTTGCAAGTGGTGGGATCCCATATTGGTACCAGTTTGTGTCCCAGCTGCTGCACTTTCCATCCAGCTCCCTGCTTATGGCCAGGGAAAGCAGTCGAGGGTGATCCAAAGCCTTGGGACCCTGCACCCGTGTGGGAGACCAGGAAGAGGCTCTTGGCTTCAGATAGGCTCAGCTCCAGCAGTTGTGGCCACTTGGGGAGTGAACTAGAGGTTGGAAGATCTTTCTCTCTGTCTCTCCTTCTCTCTATAAATCTGATCTGCCTTTCCAATGAAAAATAAATCTTAAAAAAAGAAAAACTTCCCTTTTTTTTAAGTTAAATACCACAAAATTCACAACGTAGATAGAACACTAATAAACACACTGTTAACAATTATTGTCTTATTTTAATTAAAATCTTACTTGACAGAGTTTTTTTGGTTCCATAGCTTAAAATTCGTAACTGACTACAGTAGTGGGAATATGAAAAGAAAATTGCTTCATGATTAAGCTTTCAGTTTATTTTCTTACTTGAAGCCTGAAAAAGCAAGTTTTAGTTCTGTCTAATTTAAGGTAGCTGTTTTCTAACAGAAATGACCACCTTTTTATTCTTTTTTTTCAGGAGTAATAAAACGAATCATTCCTGCAGTAGCTTCCACAAATGCAGTCATAGCAGGTGAGGAAGAGAAGACCATCCATTCGTTTTATTTTTCTTTGTTTGTTTTGTGACTCAGTATCTGAAGTGACATTTCTGCATCTAGTTCTGTTCTGGGAGTTTGATGTAAAGAATTTTAGTGGGGGAGGGTTGTATAATTGAGCAGTTGAAAAAGAACAAGTTACTGTACTTTTTGCTTCCTTTATGCCTCTTCTGTGCACTGTTTTAAGTTAATGTATATTAAGTTGATGAAGAAAAAAGAAAACATGTATTACTTGGATCATACAAAAACATTTTTTTTCTTTTTCAGTTTTCCAAGTAATAATATATTGTTTTAATCAATAACAGTTACAAGTTTATCTGTCCTGATTGAGTTAATTTGTCATTTTTTTCTCTTTTTAGCTGTATGTGCCGCTGAAGTTTTTAAACTAGCCACAAGGTAATGGGTTTTATTTTTAATATTTATGAAATCTGTATTTTAACATGGCTTAGTTATATAATGATCATAATTTTTTTTTTGTCACAGTGCATACATTCCTATGAATAATTACTTGGTATTCAATGATGTAGACGGACTGTACACATATACATTTGAAGCAGAGAGGAAGGTTAGTAGTATTAAATAAGGAAAATATTTTTAATCCTATATCCTTTGATTTAAAAAAATATTATTTAGAAATTTGAATATGATTATCCATACAGTAAATATTTTATTTTCTAACTTGCCCTTCTCATTATTGTATATCTTTTGTTGTATAGCCTAAAATAAATATGGGATAGCAAAAATAGTTAATTAAGAAAAATACATTAAACCATAAATTTTTCATAGGCTTTTATGAGTATAAAACAAGTTAATTTCATTGTCTATAATGAGATTGATTCTGATGTATTGAAACTGTAATTTATTATATTTTATGTCTGTAGGAAAACTGCCCAGCTTGTAGTCAACTTCCTCAAAACATTCAGTTTTCTCCATCTGCTAAACTACAGGAAGTTTTGGATTATCTAACCAACAGTGCTTCTCTGTAAGTGTCTCAGAATTTTGTTATGTTGTGAAAACTATAATTTGAAACTCCAAAAACCAGATTTTAAAGTGATATTTGATACTTCTTGTTCATATTTATGCATAGGCAGATGAAATCTCCAGCCATCACAGCCACATTAGAGGGAAAAAATAGAACACTTTATTTACAGGTGATCACTGTTAGTTTTTTATTTTTTTCAAAATATATTAACAATTAAACTTTACTTTCATGTGTCTTACATTGAAATGATTTTGTTTTCTAGTCAGTAACCTCTATTGAAGAACGAACAAGGCCAAATCTTTCCAAGACATTGGAAGGTATTTTAAATAAGTATATTTACTAATAGTTTTCCCTTGCTTTAGTAAAAATGATGAATGGTTGATTTAAAGTTGCTCTCAGTGTGTTTTTTTATAACCTGATTAGATTGTAATAACATTTGGAAATAATGATATGAATGCTCTTCTAGTAAAACTAAAATTTATAAATCCCAAAGGTATCAAACATTACCTTGGTGAAAGAGATCTAGATTTTGATGGCTGACTGCATTAGAAAGCTCGTTGGTTTGTGTATGTGTGTGCTTAGCTTTTCTGTGGAGTTTTTGCTTGGGTTAATTATGGTTTCTCTCTCTTTAGAGTTAGGCCTTGTTGATGGACAAGAGCTAGCAGTTGCTGATGTCACCACCCCACAGACTGTCCTCTTCAAACTGCATTTTACTTCTTAAGGAGAAGCAATCTGCACAAGTACAGAAAACTTCTGGAAACAGTATATTCGGGAATGTTAAGGAATTTAGTTGATATCCTTTTTAGCATTAGTGCAAATGGAATCCGACGTTTTTTAAATGTAATGAACCACTCTTTTTTAACTTAAAAATTTTCTCTTGATTTATTTGGGCATGAAGCTCATAAACATTGTTAACAAAATGGGGAGATGATGCCTGAAGAGAAAGATTATGAGCAACTGTACTGCTTCTTGATGAGGAGGCAAACACTCTTTTATGTTTGAATTTTTTTATTATGGTCAAAGAATATAATCCTTTGTTTTCAGTTGAGCACGCCCCCCCCAAAAAAAAACCAAGAAAATAAAGAATTATCTTTTAAAAACATTGAGTATTACAGCCCGACATGTAGGGTGTGTTGAGCATAGGCTATTTCTTGATTTGTTATTCATTTAATTGTGGCTGTCCAAATGAATATTGCAAAGTTTATTTTTTCTCTAATTATTTGTCAATGGTGTTCACCTGAATACTTGTGCATGGAAATGTAACGTGTTTTCATGTGTTTGTTTGCAGTGCCATAGAAGCCAATGTGCACAATATTAAAGCCAAGACATGGCTGTTTAAAAGTTTAATGTTTAAACAGTTGTCAGTGATGCTTTCACAATATTTATTAATAAAACCATATATTGTCTACTTTTTTCAATGTTTTTTTTTTCAAGTACATAAAGAATAGTAAGTAGTTTCCTATTAATGTAGGAATAATTTTTAAATGTATCATAATTGTATAATTTTAAAATGCTTTTTTGTAGCCATTGTTCCTGCTAGGACAGGAGGTGAACTGAGTAGGGCTGGCTCATGGACCCACTGGTATGCGCGAAATCTGACATTGGGAGAGGTTCTGATGGAGGAGCCTGGGCAACTCCTCTGGCAAGACAGATCCAGCAGGTAACCGCAGGAAACATGATAGGAAACAGCCCAGAACAGGCCATGGAAAGTTACCCACTGGCATACATTTGGCATGGTTCGGGGGCAGAGCAGGCTGAATCAGTTCACGTCATCCACTGGCAAATCTGAGCACCAGAACAGTGTGGGTCAAGCCGGGTTCGGTCACAACAAAAACTAGTGCATAATACGGAATGCCAAGGTGAGGTTGCCTGTACCGGAAGGGACCGCAGCGCCCAACCAGTAAGTGTGAGAACCAGGAAGGGAGGGGGCGAAGCCAGCAGGAGGAATATGGGAGGGTTCCCTTGCTGGACGGCTCTCCCACTGAAGAGCATGAGCTGGGATGGGGGGCAGACCAGATTAAGCAGGGATATAACATCTGTGGGCCTCATGTGGACTAGATCAGGGAAAAGCCAGGATGGGCTGATCATTCCTACTGGTACAAACAGAATTAGAGTGGGTGAGGGTTGTTTGGGCTTAGCCGCAGCATCAGCTGGCAGAAGCTGGCACTGGGGTCCACTGGGGTCTAATTCTGTCAAGTTAAACCACAGAACCACCTGGAGAGTGCATAATCCAGGAGTGGGAGAGGCCTGGGAGGGAAATAGTGGGCTCCTCCCTCTTCTGTTATCACTTTATTATGTGAGCTGGTTAGATGGAACAAAGCTTTAATACCCATTGACATGTATGAGAGCTGAATGGGGTGTGGGACAGACTGGACTACTGCTACACATACTGGCAAACCAGGGTAGGGGGCAGGCCTGGTGGGGGTTATTGTGGGTCACTCTCATTAGGCTGCAGCTCCCACTTGCTTATGCGAGGGCCGAGTATGTGCTGAGCAGAACCAGGCTGGACTGCAACACCCATTGGTTCTAGTGGAAGTCGGGGCTGAAAACAGAACCAACCCAGCAATTGCAACCACCAGCTGATCGGGGCAATGGACTGTGCCGGGCCCTGTACTTGCTAGCACATACAAGAATTTGGTCTGAGAACACCTCAAAGTTTCTTTGGAGATCTCCCCAATCTAAAGGCTGGACTCAAAACCCTAACCATGAAAAGACAGAAGACAGAACAGGTCAACACCTCAGCTATATGTTGGCAGCAAAATACGGGGCAAACGGAGACTCTATGATGGACTATGTCAATCAGTGGATTCTTCAAAGACCTCATCATGCTTGGAGTGGCAAGACTGGCAGAGATTCATAACTGGTGAACCATCAAAACCACTTGAGCAAGAACCTCGGAGCATGCCCTACATCAGGGACCTGGGGAGGGTGGGAAATTGGGTGGGCCTTCTCCCTTAATACCCCCCTTTAAACATGAAGGAAACAATATAGAAATAATAGTCTTACCCATTTGCCTATAGCCCTTGAACCTTTTTACTCAAATTAACTATGTAAAGATTGTAAAAAGTATAATAAAGAAATAATAAAAATTTAAAAATGCTTTTTTGTGACCTTTTTTTCTATTTTATTTTTAATTTTATGGTACAATTATGTAGGCTCTGGAATTCCCCCTATCCCTTTTCCCAAATTCCCTCCCCCACAAATGATTTATCCAATAATAGTATAGTTCTTCATAAGCAGCCATAAGTCATCATTCTATTTAAGTGTTTTCTGACATTGCTAGTACAGACAGTAGCTGACTGTCCAGCATCCTTTATCAAGTTATATCCAACAGTTTCATTGGGAGTCCATCTTTGATTTGGAAATAGAGATGCATGCTGCATTGTATCTTCACATCTGGATATGACAGACTTTATTATACAGTTACTATACATTCCCTTAAATGAGAAGCCATGAAACTAAATCAACAACAGGAATAAAATTAAAACAAAAAACTTATAGCATTACGGAATTAAGTTACATGCTACTGAATAAAATAATTTTGACTATAACTATTGCACTATAATTAATACTTCAATATGGTGATTTCCACAGTAAAGATCTAGTATCTAGTATATTAGTTTTACTTAAAGTTGTTCTAACAAGGTAATGTAATGAATTGGAAGAACTCTGTAAAAGTTTCCTAACATGCTTTTGTTTTTACTAAATGACTAAAACTCTAAGGTCCAGTATTAGAAAACAGGGTTTAGAACCTTTCTTTTTTGTTTGTTTGTTTTTAATAAAATGTTTGAATGGAAGCAGGATGGAGACGGGGGGAGGAAGAGGGATCACTTATCCATTAGTTTACTCCACAAATGTGTATGAGAGCCAAGCATGATCCTGGCCAAAGCCAGCAACCAGTAACTCAGTGTGGACCTCCCTTGCTGCTGGCAGAGACAGCAACCTAGTCATTAGCTGCTGTATTTAGTAAGCCTTGCATTGGGAGAGGACCAGGGTACTCTCCTAGCTGACTAAGGCAGCTCCTTCACCACTGCGCCAAATGCCTGCTCTAGATTCTAGTATCTTTTTTCCTTTTGAAAGATGTATGTATTTATTTATTTTTAATTGGAAAGTCATATTCACAGAGAGAAGGAGAGAGAAATGTCTTCCATCCACTGGTTTACTCCCTGAGTGACTGCAATGGCTAGAGCCAAGAGCTTCTTCCAGGTCTGTCACACGGGTGCAGAGTCCCAAGGCTTTGGATCATCCTTGACTGCTTCTGCAGGCCACAAGTAGGGAGCTGGAAGGGAAGTGAAGCAGCTGGGATATGAACTGGGATATGTAGGATCCTGGCACTTGAAATGGGAGGATTAGCCTGTTGAGCTATTGTGTCAGCTCCCAGACTGCAGAACTTTCAAGAAATAAATTTGTTTAAATAAGCCACTCAATTCATGGTAATGGTTTTAACAGTTTAAAGGGCCTGAAAAATCTAAAAGTAAACTATATTACCTAAAACTAAAGCCTACAGTCTTAAAAACAAAGAATTCTACCAACATTTTAAAGCTAGATTTCACCCAAAAATCCAGATGGAGCTCAAACAGGAGTACCAGCATGGGAACAGGCAGCTGCAGGAGGTTGTGCTGGATGATGGACCCCTCCCTCTAGCTTGCCACACACTGTCCACTCACCCGACTGCACCCTTCCTGCTGTGGTTCGTAATTCCTGCCGGCCCCTCCTGTCTCCTTACCACACTGCTGGAAACTGCCATAAAGGAATTCCTTCTCTTTCCCTCATGCCCCCCAAATTAGATTGAAACCCTCCCTTTAAGAAGCTGTGGTACTCTTCCAATAATTGCCTAAATATCAAAAGTCTGCATGTTAAAACTTTCAATTTAGTAATTCACAAGAAGCACTAAATACCTCCAGCGCTTCCCAACAGCTAAGCTATCTAAAGAGCAGATCTGGGGCAATTGAGGGTTGAGTTCCAGTTCCATGCTGTACAGTCTCGAATAAAATGATCTAAAACTTAAGTTATTGACTCAACTCTCAGTTGGGGATAGCTTCACTACTTGGAGAATCATGCTGTTGTACAAAGGAAGTGTTACATGTTCACTCTTTTACTTTCAAATCTAACAAAGTGAATATATTTAGGGCCTGGCATGATGGCTCAGTGGCTAAATCCTCACCTTGCAAGCACCACGATCCCATGCTAAGTGCTGGTTCCTGTCCTGGCTGCTGCACTTCCCATCCAGTTCCCTGCTGTGTCCTGGGAAAACAGTAGAGGATGGCCCAAAGCCTTGGGACCCTGCACCCGCTTGGGAGACCCGGAAGAGGCTTCTGGCTCCTGGCTTCAGATCAGCTCAGCTTTGGCTGTTGCAGCCACTTGGGGAGTGAACCAGCAGTTGGAAGATCTTTGTTTCTGTCTCTCCTCTCTGTAAATCTACCTTTCTAACAAAAATAAATAAATCTTTTTTTAAAAATGGTGTATATATTTAACACATAGGTTTTACAATGAAATTCCAAGTTACTTGTCATTGTGGAGTTAGAAATGTAATAAAATAATATGTAACCTTCATATCTTTTTAAGCAGAAAACTTATTCAAGCCAAAAAATAAAGAATGAAAACACATTCTACATAATCCCACTTTAAGATACTAGGATCTGTGCCCAGTGTGGTAGCCTGGTGACCAAAGTTCTCACCTTGCACATTCCAGGATATCTGGCTTTGGATCAGAGCTCAGCTCGGGCCGTTTTAGCCTTTGGAGAGTGAACCAGCAGATGGAAGATCTTTCTTTCCTTTTCTCTGTAAATCTGCCTTTGCAGTGAAATTAAATAAATTTTAAAAAGAAAATGTTCTGCAGCCTGGGACGTTTAAGATCCAGGCACCAGCAGATGGGTGTCTGGTGAGGGCTGTGTGTGCTGTTCATAGGTGATACGCTCCGATGGTGGAAGGAGACTTTGAGGCCCCTTTGCTAAGGGAATATTAATTCCACTCACCAGGGCCCCGTAGTTGTGATCTTTGTAACTCTTGCAAGGTTCCACTTCTCTGGGAGATTGTCAGCATATGAATTTGGGTAGAATATAAAACCGCAGATCATACTACTACTGAGTGTGCTCTGGCAGGAGGCAATGAGGACCGGTTTGTGCCTTCTGCAGTGTGTGAGCCTCACGTCCGGTCTTCATAGACAAGCCCAAACCGGAGTTTGTACTTAACCTAAACTAACACAGAACTGATTAAACTGGTATTTGAGACAAAGCATTAAGAGAGATGAGAGACTCAAATATCTGCTCTTCTTAGCGCGAGGACCCCGTTCTCTAAGAAAGAGCGTAGTTGGAACTCTTACTTCTCCCGGAGAAACAGACCTCTGTTGGAGGGTTGGTGGACGACTCCCGCTTTGGGCGCGTCATCTATCAACAAACTGTTCCGCGTTTCTCGGTAACTACGGGCAACCCTGAGCTCCCGGACATGACGTCAGCGTTCCTTGCTGCTGTTCCGTCCGTCGACGGAACTCTGGGCTCCCGGATTTGGTGATTGTGTACGTGGAAGCGTCCTGCGCATGCGCAGGCGGGACCTTCCCCCTCAGCTGTGCCGGACGAGCCGAGGCTGACATCCCGGGGTCCGGGGAGCCCGTCGGGGTCATGGCCGCTCGCTGACAGGGCCCTGCGAGGGGCGAAGGGGCCGAGGCTGCCCCGCTGCACCCGTCCCCGGCCCTGAAACCTGCGGGCCCGGCGCTCGGCGTTCCCGCTTAGTACTGCCGCCGCCGCCGCCGGTCGGGGAGCGCGATGAGTTGGTTCAACGCCTCCCAGCTCTCCAGCTTCGCCAAGCAGGCCCTGTCCCAGGCCCAGAAGTCCATCGACAGGGTCCTGGACATCCAAGAGGAGGAGCCGGGCGCCTGGGCCGAGACCATTCCGTACGGAGAGCCCGGTAAGGGGGAGGGGCGCGGGGCGAGCCGTGGGGACCGGGACCCCACAAGGCTTGGGAAGCCGTCTCTCCCCCGACCCCCGTTCCCAGATGCCGCTCGAGTGTCCAACGTGGACTTGGGGAGTCCGGCTCCGGTCCCTGGTGCGGGTCTTGCGGATTTGGGGTTGTCATTCGTTGCCCTTGGCCCCCTCACCCTGACTCGACAGCCCTGAGCAACACAGTCCGACCATAATATCAACAGGGAAGGGCAGAACCGTCGCCGGCGTTCTGCGAGCACTTGGTGCCTAGTGGCGCGTCCTGTGCCTTTTTTTATGGCTTTGTTGTCTTCAAAACAACAGAAATGGAAAATGAGACTCAGAATAGCTAAGCAGCCTGCCCTGGGTCACACAGTGGCGAGGGGCAGGATATCCTGGAGTCGTGTCTCTGGAATCCGTGGCCCAAGAGTTTGGGATTGGATCACATTTTTATTTCTGAAGAGCTAGGTCTCTTTTTTTTTGTCAGAGCCCTTGAACTGAACTTTGCTAGTAACTTCACTTGGTTTTGTCTTTAAGGTTACAAGTGTGATATGTAGGATAAAGCTGTGTAGGTTTGATGGATGTTAAACCTTTGTGTGAAACAGAATAAGCTATTCCTGACTACTCCTGCTTTTGGAAAGTCAGGACCTAAATTGTAACTAGGTAATTTTCTGGTGTTTTTGTCCATGTGTGTATGTCGTTATCTTGCTGCTTTTTACAAAATGTGATAACGCTTTGCTGGAGTAGTGTAACTTGCTTTTTTTCCTACACATCCCACATTTTGTTTTTAAATTTCATATGTATATGTTTTTATTTTGAATTTTTGAATTATGTGATACAATTTCGTATAGACTGGGATTTCCCACCAAACTCCCACCCCCCAACAGATTTTCCCCATTTTACTACAATGGTGTAGTCCTTCATAAGGAATCACAATTCCATCAGTCTCTTATTTAAGTGTACCCCGACATTGCTGGCACATTGTCTACACATTTCCACCAGTTTCACTGCGTATCCATTTTTCGTCTGGAAGCAGGAATGAATGTTGCATTGTACCCCCACATCTGGATATGGTGGACCCCAGTTCTCCATTACTGTGTACATTTCCATAATTGAGAAGCCATGAAACAAGGTCAACAACTGGTATGAGTTAAAACAATCGCAACAACAACAACAACAACAAAAATGAATTACAGTACCATAAAAAAGTGCCCCACTGAGTAACCAACACTTGGATGACAAAAAGGAAACACAAAGGTCTCTTGGGAAAAATGATGCCACCATAAAAGCCATGAGCCAGCAATGAATTTGACAAGAGAAAAGAAAGTCTTTGAAATAAATAAAACTGAGATAAAAAAAACATGTGGGCCCATCCTATATTTTGGATTTCTTTAGAGATGATAGATATGAAGATGACTAGTTTTTAAAATCTGAGTCATTTCATTGTGTCATACAATTTGTATTTAAAAATAGGTGAGTTATATTTTAGGGTCAGATTTTAGTGAATTATCATAAATGTTGTTGACCACCTTCTGTGTTTTAGATTAGAAAAATGGCCATAAGTCTTGACAATAGAGTACTTTAAATGTGTGTCAGAAAACACCAGGATTATGCAAAGCATTCTCCAAGAGGCCAGTTTAATTCCTGTCATCTATTAAGATGATGATAAAATAATAGAATAATTATCTCTATATTACAGAAATGAATCTCAAATTGTGTCTGAACTGAAGGTTTCTAAATACTGTTAATCGATATGAGCTTTGAGGTGATGTTAAAAGACAAACTTTGCTATAGAGCTTGCTGGTTTTCAGCTTTTAGTTCTGCAGAATTTGTAATAATTCTACTTAGCCGCTGTTGAATTTAGAGAAACAAAAATACATTTAAAGAAGTGTTTTAAATGCTGGAGTGAATACACCATGTTTTTTGTCATTAGGTTTTTATTTGCATTTATTTCTGTGACTGAATAATTATCCTTTTCACCCTTGGAAGACAGTTTAAAAAGTTTTTTTTTTTTTAAAGATCCTAGTGTCAACCACTTTTTATATGAATAAACAGTAGAACTAAAAAAGTACGCATTTCTGAAGTTAACAGTAATTTAATTGCTGGTGCAGAGGGAACAGAACAAAATTGTTTTAGAGTGAATTTATAGAGTGGGGCTTGCAAAACAGGCTTGTCATTAAATGAGTGGAAATGGTAACTTATTGTACCCATCGGTTTAGCATATTCTTTGGAAAATAACATTCACCACCAGTATCTTGTGTTCAGCTTCTGACTGTTGCCCTCTTTGCGATGAATTACTGTGTTTTATTGTTGAGGAGAATAAGATTAACATGCAACTGAATAGATGAGGTTTTTTTTGCTGTGACTACACATGACCTGTAGATATACTGCTTATTGTTGAGAAATGAATAATACATATCTTGAACTTACTAGGAGTTGTGAATTAGATGCCATTGCTGTCTTAATTTGTTGTGGAGCAGAATAATGTGTTTGTTTCTGGTGATCCAGGCTAGTTTATCTGTACTCTTTGCTTCTTAGGCAAAAGCACACTTTTTATTTTTTAATATTTGCTTATTTTTTGTTGGATAGGCCAACTTACAGAGAGAAGGAGAAACAGAGAAAGATCTTTTGCTCCTGGCTTACTCCCCTAAATGGCCACAATAGCCAGAGCTGAGCTGATCCAAAGCCAGAAGCCAGGAACTTCTTCTAGGTCTCCCACAAAGGTGCAGGGCCCAAGGCTTTGGGCCATTCTCCACTGCTTTCTCAGGCCACAAGCAGGGAGCTGGCAGGGAAGTGGGGCAGCTGGGACATGAATGCACTTGTATGGGATGTTGGCACTTGCAGACAGAGGATTAACTAGCTCAGCCATCATGCTGGCCCCATCAGTATTTTTTTTAAGAGCCTCGTTAACCCAGGAACTGATAAGTAATACAGTAGGGATTTTAACGTACAAATCACAGGTTGTAACTCTAGATTTTCTTTCTTCTAGTTTTGTGTTCATATTTATTTGTAACAGTGATTGAAATGTGAGTGTAATACATGTATTTTTAATATTTCTTGTTGTAGGAATAAGTTCTGTCAGCGGAGGATGGGACAGTTCAAATTGGGGGCTGAAAACCAACGCAGAACCCCAGAGTCCACCAGCAGCCTCCCCTAAAGCCATCACAAAGCCGGTCCGGAGGACTGTGGTCGACGAATCGGAGAACTTCTTCAGCGCCTTCCTCCCTCCAGTGGACGTGCAGACTGTTCAGAAGAGTGCAGTGGTATCAAAGCCTCCTGCCAAGTCACAGCGACCAGAAAAGGAGGTGCAGAGCACCTTGCACGAATCCTTGCACACTGGACAGTCAAGAGCTACGGACCCAACCGAAGCAAAAGTGAAAGACTCTTCGTGTGCGTCAGGGGAGGCTCAGGCAGTAGAAGTTCCAGCTCCTAAACCTGAAGGCCAGCAGGAAGAAACTGCTAGTAAGGAATCTGATAGCAAGGCCCCGACTGTGCATTTAAAAGTATCTGAAACGGTCGTTAATGTGAAAACACCTGCAGAAAGTGTGCCTCATCTGTCCACACAGTCTCTCGCCGTGGAAACCAAGGAACAAAAACACGAAGACAGACAGAGCAATACCCCGTCTCCTCCCATTAGTACTTTCTCCTCAGGCACTTCTACCACCAGCGATATTGAAGTTTTAGATCATGAAAGTGTAATAAGTGAGAGCTCGGCAAGTTCGAGACAGGAGGCCACAGATTCGAAATCAAGTCTTCACCTGATGCACACATCTTTTCAGCTGCTCTCTGCGTCTGCTTGCCCTGAGTATAACCGTTTAGACGAGTTCCAGAAGCTCACCGAGAGTTGCTGCTCATCTGATGCTTTCGAAAGAATAGACTCATTTAGTGTACAGTCCTTAGATAGCCGGAGTGTGAGCGAGATCAACTCCGACGATGAGTTATCAGGCAAGGGGTATGCGTCAGTGCCTATTGTGGTTAGTCCGTCAACTCCAAAGACTAAAAAAACCGAGTCTGTGGAAGGCAAATCTCAAGATGAAGTGAATGAAACATTAATTATACCCACTGAGGAGGCAGAAATGGAAGAAAGTGGGCGAAGCGCAACACCTGTTAACAGCGATCAGCCTGACATCTTGGTTTCTCCTGCCCCAATAAATGAGGAGCAGAGTGTCTTAGCCAAGGTGGTTGAGCAGAGTGAAGCTGCTGAGAGTCAGCCGGAATCACTTCCTGAGAAGGAAGATATTAGCAAGGTAATTGTAGAAAGTGATGTACTTTTTGGAGCTAAACTCAGCTGATTTATTAAAAATGCTTTCAAGAATGTATAATGATTTGTGTCGATAAGGAAAGATTCATGTTTTACTGGTTCAGTTTTCTCTTAAGGACTTTCAAATTGAACTACTGATACTAAATTATTTGAAATTTTATCATAGCAGCTGATGAAATGAGTTTTACCATTTCAGTATGGTTTTAAATTGAGTTATTGATATTTCAAATCTTGTCATAGCAGCTGTGATAAAATGAGTTGTCTGTTTCACGTGAACATAAAAGTTTACATCTTGAATCTTTATTGTTAACTGTTATTGAAACCTTAAAATTTCGTTATACTGTGCTTTTTTGGTTTATTTGTCAAGGACTGCTTCCTTAAATATTTATCTTGAACTTCTTGGCACATGTGCTAAAATGAACATAAATATCATAGTTTATGTTTTGCAATATTTTGTGTCTTGGCATTATTTGTAGCAAATGTTAAAGTGTCTTTTTTTAATCTTTAGGTTGATAATTGAATATTCTCGTTGATTCATATGGAGTGTGTTCTCCTTGGATTGTTCCAGCTTTGTGTTATTTTCATATTGTTGATCTCTAAAAAGTTTAAGAAGCAAAGTCATAGCTTGTGAATGCACATTGCTTCTACCTAATACGTACTAAAGAAAAGTGGTATATATGCCTTAACAAAGTAGAATTTTCTGCATCAAAGCACTATGTAGACCTTCAACCAGAAATTGCTTGGTTATTTTCTGGAGTGGTTTGCTATTCTTCCCCTCGCGGCAGCAATGTGGTTTGTCCAGTTTGTACCTTTAGTTCTTAGTTTTGTGCGTTCATTGTGTTCCATTATCATTTTAAGAATTTATTTCTGTATTATTTCAAAGACAGGCAAAATAAACAGACATTACATAGGCTGATTCACTTCCCAAATGCTAACAAGCTCCTAGGCTGGGCCAGGTGAAAACCTGAGCCCAAAACTTGGCGCAGGACCCCCACGTGGGTGGCACGGTGACATGAGCCATGGCCTGCTGCTTCCCAGGGTATGTGTGAACAGGAGACTCAGCTGGAAAAGCAGCTGGGATGTGAACGCAGACCCTCCTTTAGGGGTGCAGCAGACCCTCCTTTAGGGGTACAGCTGCCCCAAGTAGCTTTTGAATTGCTGTGCCAAACGTCTACCCTCTTAGTATTGTTTATTTTTTATGAGATAATGCTATATTATTTTAGTGAATGGTATACCTTTAAAAGTTAATCTCCTGCATGTGTAAAAATGGCCTTGTGTTTTGACTTTTATGTATTTTAATTCAGACAGTTGAATTTCTGAATGAGAAACTGGAAAAAAGAGAGGCTCAGTTATTAACACTTAGTAAAGAAAAAGCACTTTTAGAAGAAGCTTATGATAACCTGAAAGAGTAAGTATTTTATAAATGTGAATAATTTTATACATTTTCATGGAGGTCCAAAAACAACTTTGTTACTTGTTTTTGAAATTAAAATGCTTTGTAATTTAATTTGCTCATAATTACTGATAATTGCTTAAAGATTACTTTTGTACTAAAATTATGTTTGCCATGTTATCTTGGGCATTGTAAAGAGGTATTATGCAAACATGAAAATAAAACTATTATTAATAATATTTTGTATAAAGTAAAATGCATTTAAAGAAAGCCATGATATTGTCTTTAGCTAAAAAAATCTGATTAGTTTTTGAGTATGCCCTAGATAGATTTTAGGAAAAAAATAGATTTTTGAGATGTTTTAATATCAAGATCTAGCAAGTAACTTTGAAGATTAGTAAGCCCAAAAAGTTTATAAGTAATGATGAGATAAATGTTGCAGAAAATTTTGTCCTGTTTTTGACGACTGACCTCGTCTTGTTACCTTTGGAATATATAAGCAGTATCCTCATTGTCAAATATTTTAAATTTAGTGAAGTGTTTCGAGTGAAAGAAGAAAGTAGTAGTATTTCTTCGTTGAAAGATGAATTCACTCAAAGAATTGCAGAAGCAGAGAAGAAAGTTCAGCTAGCATGCAAAGAGAGAGATGCTGCTAAAAAGGTAACCAAAATTAATGTTGAACTGTATAAAAACAGAGTTTTGAGGAATACACTACTGTTGAATGTATTTTGAGTTTAAAAAAAGTAAGATAGGATGAAAGCATACACACACATAAATAGTATAAACAGTTTTTTGGGTAAATTAGAAAAAATTATCATTAATCTTGTTTGTTGCTTATATTCTACTTCAAACATCTTATGTACCTCTTCATGCCAAAGTAATTCTAAAATTTGGATTTCTGATGGTTAATGACTCTTAGAGTCATAAAGTTAACTTACTCTGATGAGAGTTTCCCAGTGTCTATGGTGCTGACATGTTAGACTGGGTAGTTGTATGGTGCAGGAGGTAATCTGGTGCATGGTAGCAGTGTTCCTGGCCCCTACCCATGACACTGAGCACTACCACCTTCACCACAACCGCCCAGCCAGATGTCATATAGCTAGATAGCCCTATCGCAGCAAAGCCATCCTGGTTGGAGACCGTTGTTTTTCCATCCAAGTACTAACAAGTCCCACCCTGCTTAGCTTTGGAGATCAGATGACAGTGGGTGCATTGGGGTTGCCTGACTATAGATGGGGACCATTACTCTAATGTATCTAATTTGGAACTAATGCCAATTTTAAACGTTGGTAATAATTAAGGTTAATAATTACTGAGTGTATTGCAACTTTGTAACATTATCTCAGGACTTGTCCTTTCTTTGTCTTCTGGCTCAGTGTAATAGGAGTTTATAATTTCTATATATTCCTGCAGAAATGAGGTATCACATGCTGTCTTCATTTCAGAGAGCTAATTTATAACTAAGGGTGTCTGTCCAGTGTATCTCTTCCTGTAGAATGTTTGTAGAGATATGGGAGGTTATTGAAAGTTAACTTATCCTTGTTTATATCTCCATATGAAATCCTATATTTATGTCTGAATTTAGATTTGTGTATCATATACAGAACCTATTGCCTCAAGATATTAAGTTTACTGGAGAAAACTTAGATTCTTTGGGAACGTATTACGGATGGTTTCTTTGGACAGGAGGAACAATTGAAATATCTGAATAGAATTAAAGCAATTTTTTTGATATTCACAGATTTTCTTTTTATTAGGAAGTGAAAAATATAAAAGAGGAACTTGCCACAAGATTAAACAGTAGTCAGACTGCTGACCTTTTGAAAGAAAAAGACGAGCAGATTCGAGGGTTGATGGAAGAAGGTGCGTATTTTGGTGATGTTGAGGAATAGTGTAAGAACAGCTGATGCTTCCTAATTGAAAAAAATATATTGAAAGCAAGAAATATTTGGACTTAAACTACAGAAATTGAACATGACAGTGTATGGTAGAATAGGAGTAAGATACATAGTGATGGGATAAAAGGCATAAATTTATGCCTGTTGGTAGCCCCTCCCCTTTTTAAAATTGATTTATTGTTATTTGAAAGAGTTACAGAGAGAAGAGAGACACAAAGAGACTTAGACATCTTCAGTTCACCAGTTTGCTCACTAAATAGCTGCATTGGCGGAAGTTGGGCCAATCTGAAGACAGGAGTGAGGATCCTCTTCTGGGTCTCCTATGTGGCTGCAGGAGCCCAAGAACTTGACCCTCCTCCACTGCCTTCCCAGGCCATCAGTGGGATTGGAAGTGGAGCCACCAGGACCCAAGCTGGCACCTGTATGATGCTGGCACCACAGGCAGAATCTTAGCCTGATGCACAGTGTCACCAAACACCCATTTTTTAAAATGATGTATTTGTTTAAAAACAAACAAACAAACCAGAGAATCTTCCATCCACTGATTCACTCCCCAGATGGTTGCAATGGTTAGGGTGGGCCAGGCTAAAGGCAAGAATCAGGAGCTTCTTTTCTATGTCCACTAAGGGTGGCAGGGGCCCAAGCGCTAGGGCCATCTTCCATTGCTTTGCCCAGGTCATTAGGAGGGTTCTGGATTGGAAGTGAGCCAGAATCTGCACCTAGGTGGGATTCAGCATCATAGGTTATGACTTTTCATGGTACACCACAATGCTGGCCCCGGGAGTCCATTATTTAAACCAATACATGATTTCATTAATTTCATGAAAAAGCAAGGATTCTTTGTGTTGATATAAATTTCTAAAAGGCTTAGTTCATTATATACATTTTCATAAAATTTTTGAGAATTCCTTATTATATATGGATTTCAAAGTCTTTATCCTAAAATAAACTTTTCATTCTATTTTTCAGGAACCTTTTTTAAAACAAACAAACAAAAAACCCCACTTGATCTTAGCCAAAAGTCTGAGAAGCGATTTTTTTGTTTTAGAGACTTATTTATTTTTATTGGAAAGGCAGATACACAGAGAGGAGGACAGTGAGAAAGATCTTCCATCCAGTAATTCATTCCCCAAGCAGCAACAACGGCTGATGCTATGCTGATCCAAAGCCAGGAGCCAGGAACCTCTTCTGGGTCTCCCACATGGGTGGAGTCCCAAGGCTTTGGGTCATCCTCAACTGCTTTCCCAGGCCACAAGCAGGGAGCTGGATAGGAAGTGGAGCTGCTGGGATTAGAACCGGCGTCCATATGGGATCCCGGAACATTTAAGATGATGACTTGAGCTGCTAGGCCACAGCACCGGCCCGAGAAGCAGTTTTTTTTTAAAGATTTCTTTAGGGCCCTGTGCGGTGGCCTAGTGGCTAAAGTCCTTGCCTTGAATGAGCTGGGGTCCCATATGTGTGCTGGTTCTAATCCTGGTGGTCCTGCTTCCTATCCAGCTCCCTGCTTGTGGCCTGGGAAATTAGTTGAGGATGGCCCAAAGCCTTGAGACCTTGCACCCATGTGGGAGACCTGGAAGAGCTGCTGGCTTCGGATTGGCTCAGCTCTGGTTCTTGTGGTCACTTGGGGAGTGAATCATTGGATGGAGAATCTTCCTCTCTGTCTCTCCTGCTCTCTGTATATCTGACTTTGAAATAACAATAAATAAATTTTTAAAAATATTTATTTTTATTGGAAAGGCAAATTTATAGAGAGGAGTAGAGATCAAGAGACAGATCTTTTTTTTGTTTGTTTTTTTAAAGATTTGTTTAAAGTCAGATACACAGAGAGGGGAAGAGAGAGAAAGATCCTCCATCTGGTGATTCACTCCCCAAGTGGTCACAGTGGCCGGAGTTGAGCCAATCCGAAGCCAGGAGCCAGGAGCTCTTCCGGGTCTCCCACGCGGGTGCAGAGTCCCAAGGCTTTGGGATGTCCTTGATTGCTTTCCCAGGCCACAGGCAGGGAGCTGGATGGGAAGCGGGGCTGCCGGGATTAGAACCGGCACCCATATGGGATCCTAGTGCTTGCAAGGCGAGGACTTTAAGCATTATGCTGTTGTGCCGGGCCCCATACATTTTTGAAGTACATTTCTATTTAAGGTTCTTATTCTGAGGTTGTGTGGTGTCTTGTTTGATTATTTTATGTTGTGTTTTGCTTTACTGGTGTTTGATAGTAATCTTTTCACTGCATTTATGCTTTTATTTCGTATTATGTGCTTGTGCCTCTTAAAAGATTTGTAGTTAACAGAGTTTCAGAAATTAAAAATCTCTTGTGAGATCAGTCATTGGTATTGGGCATTGAATTCATTTCCAGGAGAGAGGTGACTTTGGAAAAGGTAGTCAAGTGAATATCTCTATTCTTAAAATTTTTCTTACTGTAACACTTCATGGGAGTCAGTGTTATGGGTCGTGGATTAAGTGGCTGCCTGTGATGCCTGCATCCCAGATTGGAGCTCCAGTTTGAGTTCTGGCTGCTCTGCTTCTGGTCCAGTTTCCTACTAGCCATGGCCCGAGTGTTTGTGCCTCTGCCATTCGTGTGGGATGCCCGCATGGAATTCCAGATTCTTGGCTTCATTCTGGAATAGCCCTGGTGATGGCAGCTATTTGGAGAGAAACCAGTTGACGGAAGAGCTCTTCCGTTCAGTCTCTCCCTCTGTCTCAGCTGCTGTTTCTCTTACATACATAAGTACTTTTTTTTTTTTAAAGGAGTAACACTGCTTGCAGAATTTTTTCAAATTTTAGGGGAGCATAGGAATAAAGAGAAAAATAGGTTATATTCCAATATATTAAATATTAGTTTCTTTTAAAACGCTTTCAATAGTTAAAATTGACTATATGTTTAGTTTGCAATCTTCTTTCTTTTGCATCTCCCTTTGTCATTAAGTATTTATTTTTATTAATGGCCATGTTAAAATATCTTACGTGGACATACCATAATTTGTTCTGTTTTCCTACTAATATGCATGAACTGGTGCTTGTCTGAGATGTCCATGTTGCAGGCAGCAGCTTAACCCAGTATGCCTCAGTGCTCAAGCCCAAGAAATGAAATGTTTTTAAAGCTTAAAGCAGAGGTACTAAACAACTCAGGACTGAAGCATATCAGAAGGAGAGCTTGATTTGCTACCCGGAAGAATAATTGTTCACATCTTGGCGTAACTTCATCATTGTCTTTCTGTACATTGCCTTTTGCCAAATAATTTCCAGATAGGTTACAGATGTCAAATATGGTGCTCTGATGTGGGATGCAAGAATTCTGAAAAATTTATTTATTTGTGTAAGTAGAATAGATTTCATGTATTTCACATCTACAATTTTGAGAACATAATGATACTTCCCAACCTCCCTGCTCCTTTCCCTATTATTTGTGTATTTTTTGCTAAAACACTTTGTTTACTCCATAATCATAAGTTTAATCCTTCACTTAATGAAAAATTCAAAAAGTAGAAAGACAACTAATAGTCAAATCTTAGGATGTCAGCTTAAAGTTTTTCTTATTGTAACACTTGCTGGGAGTCAGTATGGGTCCCCATAACTACATTTTGTGTATCCATATACATTACATTTTGAGTATCCTATATATTAGCTACCACAAGTCAAGAGACAACATACTTTTTTTGGTGGGGATGTTGCTGCTGGTTTATTTCAGTAAGCATAATCTCTAATTATGTGCATTTTGTTGCAAATGGCAAGATTTCTTTTTTTTCTGGCAGAATAGTATTCTCTCTCTATGTATAGTAACATATATATACTATGTAGTCTATAGTATATATAGTCTATAGTGTGTGTATATACTATACATGTAGTGTGTGTACTATATCATCTATATACAGAATATATGCATGTGTGTAGTATGTATGTATATATCTATGTATATATACACATACACACATACCATATTTTCTTTATCCAGTCATTGGTTGGTGAACGTCTTGGTTGATTCCTTATCTATTGTGAATTGTACTACTATTAATTTGGTGATATAGATAACTTTTTCATATCCTGAGTTTATATACTTTGGAAAAATTTCCAGTAGTGGGATGGCTGAGTCAAATGGTAGATCAATTTTCAGATTTCTCAGCAGTCTCCATACTATTTTCTATAAATGGCTGTACAAGTTTACATTCCCACCAACAGTGTATTAAGATATCTTTTCCCCATATCCTCACCAACACTTGTTATTTTTGATGATAACCATTGTCTCTGGCATGAGGTGAAACAGCCGTGTGGTAGTTGAAACCCCTGAACCACAATACCTCTCACTTGATATGACTAGTTGGATAACACATTCTATTCAGATTCTGAAGGAATCATTTGAATTTATACTTTTTTACCATTGCCAGGAGAAAAACTTTCAAAACAGCAGCTACATAATTCTAACATCATTAAGAAATTAAGAGCTAAAGACAAAGAAAATGAAAATACTATTACAAAGCTGAACAAGAAAGTTAAAGAGCTAGAAGAGGAGTTGCAGCATTTAAAACAGGTAGCAATCATTATTCTATACATTTATGCATTTATGTTATTCTGATATCAGCACTTTGCCATGGCTTATGAAGCACTTGGAATGGTTTAATTGGTATCCTGTTAGCGTATGCTAAATAATTTAATAGGTGAATATGAGGATTTTTTCATTATTATAATACATGACAACCTTGGAAAATGCTCATTTATCATGCTGTTTCTTATTGAAAAATGCTTATTATACATTTTAACTCAGGTCCTAGATGGCAAAGAAGATGTTGAGAAGCAACATAGAGAAAATATTAAAAAGCTCAATACTGTGGTAGAACGCCAGGAGAAGGATCTTGGCCGACTCCAGGTAGACAAAGAAGAACTTGAAGAAAAGAACCGAAGTATTCAGGCCGCCCTGGATAGTGCATACAAGTAAGAAAACAAACAAGTAGGCGTCTCATTTAGAACCTAGAGTGTTGAAGCTCCTTTTCTGTTGTTACTGCCATACTTATAAACTTACCTACTTGTGAGCCTCTTACTGATCAAAGCAAAATGGATTGAGAGTACTTACCGTGTCCAGTGTTGAATGTTCCCTCTTCTGTATATTTCTTTGGTATATAGACATTTCATTAACTGGGTGTGTGGTTAACTGTGTGTTATTCTAAATAAAAATTACTGATCTAATTTTTAAGAGAACTTACTGATCTTCACAAAGCGAATGCTGCAAAGGATAGTGAGGCACAAGAGGCTGCTCTGAGTCGGGAAATGAGAGCAAAGGAAGAACTGTCCTCAGCACTGGAGAAGGTCCAGGAAGAGGCCCGTCAGCAGCAAGAAACATTGGCTCTTCAAGTGAGTTATGACGATGGCTAAACTTATCTATGTATTTATGCTGCTGCAAATTAAACAATGTGTTAGCTAGTTTGAGCCAAACCTTAGGTAGTGGTTTCTGCATTAAACTTTGTAGTCTTGTTATAGATTTTTCAGAGTGTTGCATTGTATAAAACTTAGTTCTAGTTTTTAGTATTTTGTGTTACTTTAATTTACTGTGTTTTATTTTATTGTAAAGGTACAGTTACAGGAAAGGAGATAGAAAAATCTTCCATCCTCTGACTCATATGGTAGATGGCATAATGTTCCTTTAAACCTGTTGGCCTGATGTTTTCCAAAAAGGATAATGTAATTACAATGTGTTTAGGTGTGCGTGTGTTGTGCTCTCTTTTTATAGTTCATCTTGCTCCTGTCTTGCTCTACTTTTTGCTTTTTTGTTTTTGTTGTTCTTTTGAAAGATTGATTCATTTCAAAGTCAGAGTTAGAAACGGAGAAAGAGGGACAGACAGGACCTTTCATCCTCTGATTGACCTCCCAGAGGACTGCAGTGCTGGAGCTAGGTCTGTCCGAAGCTAGGAGCAAGGAGGCCCTTCTGGATGTTCCTTGTGGGTAGCAGGGCTCTAAGTCCTTGGCCCATTTTCCTCTGCTTCTCCAGGCATGTTGGCAGGGAACTGAATAGGAAGTGGCTGAATAGCAGATGAGACTCAATCTACGGCCAATATGGGATGCCGGTGCTACAGATGGTGGCTTACCTACTGTGCCATGGCACTGGCCCCAGTCTGTTTGTTCATGTCAGAATGTATAGTTGCTTTGTCTTTCTTTAGTATTACATGGCTGGAGCTGTGCTTGTACGCATTCATATGTTTTTCTTTGCTTAGCAGAATGTTTTATTAAGTAGTCATTTTAAAAATTTTGGAATTGCTTGGTGTAAATATTTGTGATAATCACATGTAAAACTAATTTTCTAGTAGAAAGTATTGTACATGATCAATAGGTCAACACAACACATAGTTATTACAAAATTATAGATGTTTTGGCATTGTGACAGTATGTTTTCTGTTTTCTCTTGCAGGTGGGGGACCTTAGGCTGGCACTGCAGCGTGCAGAACAAGCTGCTGCTAGGAAAGAAGATTATTTACGCCACGAGATCAGTGAACTCCAGCAGGTATCCTCACGGATTTCCTAAGTACAAATCCAAGAAGAGTGTTTTCCTAAAAATAAAATTGATTCATTGACATTCATGGAACTGAGAAGTTTACTGTGCACTAGTCATTCGTTGCATTTATTTTTTGAGTGTTTATTTTTTGAGTGTACCTGCTCATGAGAGAGGGAGAGAGAGAAGATAAATTTATCTGCTGACATGCCCCCCCAAACCTTGAAAAAGCTGGGAGCCTGGAGCTCCATGTGGATCTCCCGCATTGATGGCAGGCCAAGCAGTTGAGTCATCATCTCTGCCTCCCAGGGTGCGTTAGCAGGAAACTGGATTGGAAGTGGAGGTACCAGAACATGAACCAGTATGTCAGTATGGGATGCAGGCATTTCAAGTGGCAACTTAAGGTTTTGCATTGCAGTTCTCCATTTGCCAGATGCTTGTGGCTTCTGTGAATGAGAGCAGAATGAGCACCCTGTAAGTATATGGTGGGCTGGCATGGCGGCTCAACAGATTAATCCTTCGCTTTAAAGAGCCGACATCCCATATGGATACCAGTTCATGTCTCAGCTGCCCCACTTCACTTCCAGCTCCCCAATTATGACCTAAGAAAGCAGCAGAGGTTAGCCCAACGTCTTGAGACCCTGCACTCACTTAGGGGACCCAAAAGAATCTCCTGGCTATCCTGTCTTCAGGTCAGCTTAACTCTGGCCATTGCAGCTAGTAGAGGAGTGAACTAGTGGATGGAAAAATGTTTCCCTCTCTGTCTGCTTCTGTAAACCAGCCATTCCAATAAAATAAATCTTAAAATACACACACACACACGCGTGCGCACACACACTCACACACACACACACACACACACACAGAGGAGAGACCGGCATTGTTGTATATAGTGACTAAAGATGCCATTTGTGACACTCAGCACTTCTGGGTGCTGGCTCACGTCCTGGCTGTTCCGCTTCTGATCCAGCTCCGTTCTCTTGGCCTTGGCAAAGTAGCAGATGATTACCCAAGTACTGGTCCTCTCCCATCCTCATGGAAGACTCGACCAAAGCTCCTGGTCCTGACTTCTACCTGGTCCAGCTATGGGAGGGAACCGGCGGATGAGAGATCTCTCTCTTTCCCTTAGTGTGTTTTTCTTTCCATAGCTTTGGCTTTCAAATGAATAAATCAATCTTTGATTACTGTGGAATGGGTAAGCAGTGCCTGCTTACAATGCCACTACTCTTGACCAGTTTTCAGTTAGTGGATGCATATAGTCAAAGGGAGAGGAAAATAATTTAGGTTGATCCTTCTCTTTTTATCAATTACTGATAGTAGCTGGATGAAGAGGCAGTGCTGAGAGGTTTGCGTGAGCTCTTTTATCTTCATATAGTCAGAGGCTGTCCTAGAAATGCTTTGTGAAGAAGCACTTACTTAGATATTACTTAACAGTTCAAACTGAAGGATTGAATAGTTGGAAAAGTAACTTTAGAAAGCAAGTAATTCTCTTTTGGAAAAAATACTTTGTTTCTGAAATCCCTCATAAGTCTGAGTTTGCTAGTATTTTCAGTAGTTCTAATTGCTATCTGTGGTGATAACTTAAGATGTCATGATTCAGAGACTTCAAGAAGCAGAGAATCGAAACCAGGAACTGAGTCAAAGTGTTTCATCAGCATCCAGACCGTTGCTTCGACAAATAGAAAATTTGCAAGCAACTCTAGGATCCCAGACATTATCATGGGAGAAACTGGAGAAGAATCTTTCTGATAGGCTTGGTAAGTGCTTTAATTTTTGTGCTTAATGCCACAGCCTCTCTTGTTTGTATTTTAAAATAATGGTATGAAAGTTTGTGTGGTCTAATGTTAGATTTTACATCTGGCTTATAGATATCTACTTCTCCTTTTCTCTGTTCCTTTATAAGACCTTAATTATGACTTCTAAGCAATTTTGCCTCTTATATAATATGTCAGGTACTACCTAACATACTCCTGTATAATTTTTTCATTCATTTTTATTGGCTACTGGTTTTGTGTTTCATTGTCTCTTGCTCAATCTTTTCCCAGTTTAGCTTGTCTGCAACAGTGCTTAGGGTGGTGATCAGATGTGACTCCAGTCAGGTATAGAATCCAGAAGCAGGGTTGGTGCTGTGGTGTAGCAAGTTAGGCTTCTGCCTGCAACGCTGGCATCTCATATGGGAATGGTTTGAGCTCTGGCTGCTCCACTCCTGATCCAGCTCCCTGCTAATGACCTGGGAAAGCAACAGAGAATGACCCAAGTGCTTGGAGATTCCCGCACCCACGTGGCAGACCTAGGAGAAGCTCCTGGCTCCTGACTTCCGATTAGACCAGTTCTGGCTGCTGCAGCTGTTTTGGGGGGAAGAGGGTGAACCAGCAGATGGAAGTTCTCTCTTATCTCTCTGTCTCTATAATTTTGCTTTTCAAATCAAAGTAAATCTAAAAAAAAAAAAAAAGGAATTCCTGGAGCAAAGGTAAGTGTGAGAATTGTAAAGATGGAACCTTTAAAGAGCAGTAAACTATGAACTCAGAAGATTCCACATTCTGTTTCTAAATAGACAGGTAGCATAACAGGAAGCTTACAGATTCACTAAGAATTCATGTATGCTTGCCACTCTCTAGTTTGAGAAGTATCATGGCGTATTGATAAAAGCAGACCTAACATGGGCGTTAAGAGACATGGACTGCAGCTGTTTCGTTTTATTTTGAATTATTCAGTTAGACTCTTCCTCTGAACTATTGTGAATCAGGGGGAGTCCGTTTGATGAGTGGCTTTCAGATGATCTTCAGTGCCCGCTTGGGTTGCTTTGTACTGCTGGCATGGTGAGAAGGAGGCTCCATAGGTAAGGAACTGTGCCTCTGCAGGCTGCTTGACTTAAAATAGGGCCTCCTAAGTCTACTTTTTTTTTTTTTTTGAACCAGAGTGAGTTTATCTTTTTTCTTTTTAAATTTTATTTTAAATATTATTTACGTAGTTGGGAGGGATGCAAACCTATGTGGGCCTCTCATTGGCATGGTGAGGGTCAGATGGGGGAAGGTGGGTGGGACACATGTTTCAGTCTTTTTTTTTTTTTCTTTTTTCTTTTTCTCCTGTGTCTGCAGGGAAGAAAGGGGAAAGGGCCGCTCCTTGCCGTCAAACTACATTAGCACCCAGGGGCAGGGGATGGTATTTTGGTGACGCCCCAGAGACCCAGAAGAGTTTCTGAGGGTGTTATGTGCGTGGTCTTGATAGCCCTGAGCCATTGTCGGTTTTGTTGTCTATTGACTGACAAAGTGCACCTTCATGCATCCACAGACCTAGGAACATGGTGCAAAGCTTGGCCAGGAAAATGGTCCAACTTGTGCTTTCCATCCTCTGATGAGGCTGTTGGTGTTCCTTGGTTGCGTGGATGAGCTGGCCACCATGTTCTCCGAGCGCATCTAAACGTGCTGCCCACTGCACAGGCATCAGCAGCTGAGGAGGCTGAGTCCCTAAACATGTACTTTGGGTCAGACTATATGCGTTGTGATTTTTTTTTTTTCCTGTAGTTAGGGTCTCAGTCCAGTGGTGCATTCAGGAAATCCCTCAGGAAACCATGCCTGGGGTGATCTCAGACTTGACTTTTGTATTCCAGCCAGTGCCAGTACTGACGTAGATGTGGCTTGGTCAATTCTATCTCAGCCTTATATATCACACAAACTGAAGGATGCTGTGGCTCAGGCATAGCAGTGGGTGCTGTGGCCTGGTTGGGGTGCTGTGGTGTAGCAAGTTACCCCCACCAGGCCTGCCCCTAGCCCCAGGCTTTGCACATTCCAACCTCTGCTGCGGTCTAGCCTAACCCACATCCCATCCAGCTGTCATGAACACCCATGGATGCTACAGCTTAGCTCAGCTCAGTCTGCCCCAGATACAATCCTCAGGTATGGTGATAGGTGCTCGTGCCCCAGCCCTGGTTCTTGTGCTAACTAGCAATAGGTATAGCCTGCGGTCCCGGCAGCGTGGCCTAGCAGCTAAAGGCCTCACCTTGAACGCGCTGGGATCCCATATGGGTGCCAGATCTAATCCCAGCAGCTCCACTTCCCATCCAGCTCCCTGCTTGTGGCCTGGGAAAGCAGTCGAGGACAGCCCAAAGCTTTGGGACCCTAGTGGAAGACCCAGAAGAGGCTCCTGGCTTCGGATCGGCATAGCATTGACCGTTGCGCTCACTTGGGAAGTGAATCATCGGACAGGAGATTTTCCTCTCTGTCTCTCCTCCTCTCTGTATATCTGACTTTCCAATAAATGAATAAATCTTTAAAAAAAAAAAAAATAGGTATAGCCTGGTAGGCAAAGCCCAAAGTTCTCCTGCCAGGTATGTTGTTTCCAGCCCCAGTCCTGTACCTATCAGGGGATACTGTGGTCCAGCCTGATATGACTCGCACCAAGTCCCAGCATTTGCCAGCTGGTGCTGCAGCCTAGTTCAGCTGGTCTGTACCTATTCTGGCTCTCATGCATGCTAGTGGGTGTAGCAGTCTAGCAGTCTAGTTCAGCAGGAGCCCAGCAAGGGTGTCTCCAAAGTTCCCTTACCAGGCCAGTACCCAGTCCTAGATCTTGTGTGTGCCAGCAGGCACTGCGGTCCAGTTTCAGATAGCTTGCCTCCAGTCACAGCTCTTGCCAGCAGATGCAGCAGCCTAGCCCAGCCTGGCCCACCCCAGCCTTCATGTGAACTGGTGGATATTGTGGTCCAACCTGACCTGCACCCTGTCATGTCTTTCACTTGTCCCAGTGTATACTGTGAACTGACCCTTCCTGGCATGCCCCCATACCCAGCTCAAATGTGTGGTGGTAGATGGTACAGCCCTGGCTCTTGCACTTACCCACAGGAGCTGTGCCTAGCAAGGTAGTTTCCCAAGTTACCCTACCAGGCCCACTCCCAGCACTGGATCTCGCATGTGCCGGTGGGTGCTGCTGCCCAGACTGACATGCCCAGCCAACCCCTGCCAGGAGCTAGGAGCTTCATCTGGATCTGTTATGTAACTGCACAGGCTCAAGCAAGTGAGCCATTATGTGCTGCTTTCCCAAGCACATAACCAGCAAGATGGATCAGAAGTGGAGCAGCTGGAACTTAAACCAGTATTCTGATATGAGAACTGATATCAGTGTGCAAGCAGGAGTTTAACTCGCTGTGCTACACTACTGGCCCTCCAAACTGTACAGTGTGTGGCATTTTGTCTTTTTTCCGTCTCAATTCCTGGAAGTTCAAGTGATTGTATCACTAGTCCAGCCTTCTTATCACTGAGAGTTAATCCCTGACAAGTATCAGTTGATGACATCTAGACTGATTGCAGGATTTGACTGTCATGCCGAAGGCTGCTGCTAACGTTTCTGCACAGGGTTCAGTGTGGACACCAGTTTTCTTGTCTCTGGAAACGTGTCAAGCACATTTCACTTGCTGATAATAGTGGTGATTTCTTATGCAGTTTCTTTTCTTTTTTTTTTTTTAAGATTTATTTATGTTTATTAGAAAGGTAGATTTACGGAGAGAAGGAGAAACAGAGAAAAAAGTCTTTTATCTGCTGGTTCATTCCCTAATGGTTGCAGTGGCTGGAGCCTGAAGCGAGGAGCCAGTAGCCTCAAGGTCTGCCCTGTAGGTGCAGGATCCCAAGGCTTTGGGCCGTCCTCTGCTGCTCTCCGTGGCCACAAGCAGGGAGCTGGGCGGGAAGTGGAACAGCTGGGACACAGACTGCAGCTTCTAAGGCGTCCTGATGCTTGGAAGCGGGGAGGATTAGAGTTGAGCCATCGCACCAGGCCCGTATATGCATTTCCTTAGGAAGATGCTGAATTATTTCCAGAGTGGCTGTATGTATCAAGGTAATTTTTTTTTAATATTCTTGCTAGCATTTTGTGATATTCCAATTATTTATTTGGAAGGTAAAGCATCAAAGAGGAAAGGTAGAGAGAAAGGAAGAGATCTTGCGTCCCACTGTTCCACTGCACAGATGGCTGCGACAGTTGGGGCTGGGCCAGGCCAAAGCCAGGAGCCTGAAATGCCATCCAGGTCTGGCCCTTGGGTGGGCACCGTCATCATGCCTTCCCATGCACATTGGCAGGGAGCTAGATCCAGGGTAGAGCTGTCAGGACTTGAACCTGTGTGCCAGTACAGAATGCTGGCTGTAAAGTGGTGGCTTCACCTGAGCTGCACAGCAGTGCCAGTCCCCCGTTCAGGCAGGAGTGTGGTCATATTTCATGTGTTTACTTTCCATTTGTCTGTTGTTTACAGTGAAATGTATGCTAAAGGTTTTTGCTTATTTTTTATCAAATTGTTTAGATTTTAGATGTTGAATTTTGAGATTCTAGAAACTAGTCCTCAGTCTGTGATTAGCATTCAGTTTCTCCCAGTTTATAGCTTGTTCGTTCAACTTTTTCACATACAATGAAAGTTAAAATTTTAAAGTTCATGTTGTCAGTTTTCCTCCATGATCTACGCTTTTGGTGTCAAACCTAAATATACTTTGCCCAGCTCTGGATCCTGAAGATTTTCTTCTGTGTTTTCTTCCTAGAACTTTTATGCTTTTCGTTTGTCTGTGAATTTGGATTTTTGATGTTCATATGTGATGCTGTGTCCAGGTTGAGGTTCATGTGTGTTTTTTTGCTTAAGGTTTTCAACTTGCTTAGGACTATTTGTTGTTCTTAAAGCAAGGATCTACTTTCAAATTTAAATTCTTGGGAAAAGAATGATAGAGCAGGTATGAATTAAGATTGATTTCTTTATTTTAGCAGACAGTCCTATCTTACACATTCAGTAGCCCACAGTTAAGCACCATTAAAAATTTGAAGAATTAACTTGGTATCTTGGTTTCTCAGGTATATTGAAGTGTGATTTTTTTTTTTGCCTCCTATCCCACAATTAGGTGAATCCCAGACCTTGTTGGCAGCAGCAGTTGAAAGAGAGCGAGCAGCTACAGAAGAACTTCTGGCCAACAAAATTCAGATGTCTTCCATGGAGTCACAGAATTCTTTGTTAAGACAGGAAAACAGTAGATTTCAGGCCCAGCTGGATTCAGAGAAAAATAAGCTAAGAAAATTAGAAGATGAAAATAATCGGTGAGCATGTTTTTTGGATGATAGTAATGTTCCTGATAATTTGATCAGACTTTAAAGCACTTTTTAATTTAAAGCATGCTGTTGGCTTTTATCTTCACAGCACTGAGAGCTAGATAGTTTCAGGGTCAGTAGTAATAAATTATTATAGTAAGTCTGTACTGTAATTCATTGGCCCTCGTAGAGATTCTTAAAATTTTATGAAATTTTTTTGTTTTAATTTGCTAGGGAAAGGATTCATACCTTTTTTTTTTAAGGGTCTATAACATCATAAAATAGTTTGGTGGCTGGTCATTGGTTAATTTTTATATTATAAGGGTTTTAGCAGTGTTCCAGTCTTTTTGTTTTTTTTAAGAGGTACTTTTCTTTGTTCTTTTTTTTTCTTCAAAGGCAGATTTAGAGAAGGAGAGACAAAGAGAGGAAAAATCTTACATCTGCTGGTTCATTCCCCAGTTGGCGACAACTATTGGATCTGAGCTGATGCTTAGCCAGGAACCAGGAGCTGCAGGGATCCATCCTCTGCTCCTTTCACAGGCCATAAGCAGGGAGCTGGATGTGCAATGGAGCAGCCAGGACATGAACCAGCACCCCTGTGAAATGCCAGTGCTGGCCGGAGAAGCATTAGTTTGTTGAGCCACTATGCCAGCCCCTGTTGCAGTTTTCTGAATAAATCTGTGGGTTCTTTGGGAGGCTCTGCTTATGGCCTGGGAGGGCACCAGGGGATGGCCTAAATTCTAGGGACACTGTATCTATATAGGAGAACCAGAAGAAATTCCTGGCTCCTGGCTTCAAATAAGCTCAGTTCCACTAGTTGCTGCCATTTGGGGAATCAAGCAGGAGATGCAGGATCTTTCTCTCTGTCTCTTTTTCTTTGTAAGTCTACCTTTCCAATAAAAATAAGTAAGTCTTAAAATAACAAGAAAATCATGAATATGAAGTTCACCTATTTGAAATTAATGTGTTTTTTTAACACTCAGACTTTTTTTTCAGAGCTTTAAAAAAAATAATCAAGTAAGAATGACTTATAAAGTAGAGTGGCATCTGATCTTTCAGCAGCATTTTCATAAAACCCCCAGTAAGGTTTTTTAAACTCTGTGGCACTTTAGAATATTATATTCAGAAGCCTAGCACAGAATATTAGTAGTAAAATGCACGGAAGTAGAGCTTATGGTTCTTTCTGAATTAAACCCAAGTGATCTAGAACTCAGTTCAGAAATGATATCAAGTTGGTAATAAAAATGATTGCTAACATTTAACAATTCAGTAATGTAAATTTTAGTAGTTTGTACTATCATCTTTTTTATATCATTTAATTTCTTGGTTTAATAGATATCAAGTCGAATTAGAAAACCTGAAAGATGAATATGTAAGAACACTTGAAGAAACAAAGAAAGAAAAGGTATTTCACTTTTTTTTTTTAAAGTTTTATTTTTATTGGAAAGTCAGATACCCAGAGAGGAGGAGAGACAGAAAGGAAGATCTTCTGTCCGATGATTCATTCCCTAAGGGGTCACAATGGCTGGAGCTGCGCCAATCTGAAACCAGGAACCTGGAGCCAATTCTGGGTCTCCCATGTGGGTGCAGGGTCCCAAGGCTTTGTGCCATCCTGGACTGTTTTCCCAGGCCACAAGCAAGGAGCTGCATGGGAAGCGGGGCCACCAGGATTAGAACAGGATCCCAGCATTCAAGGCCAGGACTTTAGCCACTAGGCTACCACACTGGGCCCGTATTTCACTTACTTTGTATGGCTCATGATGGAGAATTAATTATTAGGGTTGGCAGTGAGCTAGTAAGATAATTACATGAAGTGCATGGTGCCATTGCTTTTGGAACTTGATTTTTAGTAATAAAGCATACCGTTTATTCATGTTTTTAATCTTTTAGATTGACTTATTAGGAAAACATGAGTAATTAATTAACTGTATCTCTCTCCATTAGACACTACTGAATAGCCAATTAGAAATGGAAAAAATGAAAGTGGAACAAGAAAGGAAGAAAGCCATTTTCACTCAAGAAGTAATAAAAGAAAAGGTTCATATTTGTTATCTTTTGGTATAACCTTATAGTTGTGATTAATTATTGATTACTTTGAGCTGTGATTTATAAGATCCATTTTTTGACTAAAATCAATCAAGTGATGAATTCTAGTGCTATTAATAGTGTCCTGCACAGGGCGGATCCAAATTTGAACATTGTCCAAAGAGATGTGGTTTCTAGGATTTGAATTAAAGAACTTGCCTGTTTAATTTTCTGGTCTCTAATGTAAAACAGTGCACCTTATGTGGCCTGTTAGACACCTTAGGAGTAAAACTGGCTTGTTCTCTTTCTTTCTGGTTAATGAAGGTAATGTTTCTGAAGTAAATTTTATGATTAAAAAATGTTAGATTCTTATAGTTAGTGTAATACATTCAGAATACCTGTATGTAAATTCAAATTACCCTATGAATATATTTGGAATTTTAAAAATACGCTTAAAATGGATAAGCCAGAAACTTTATGGTATGTAAAACTTTTTGATAATTTGCTTTTAAAAGATGTAGGTTTAAACTGGTGGTGTGGTACATGAGGCAGTTACTTTGTATAATGGAACAAAAACATTCTCATGCTTGAAAAACTGCAACCAGCTATGTTATTAAAATGTAACTAAGTCCCATGGTGATTTGGTGAAGTCTGACTATACTTTTAATTACTAAATATTGAACCTTGGTTAAGACTACCGACTGTTCAACTCTCACATCAATACCATTTTGGGGGACAAGCAGAATGAATTTTTATTTCATTATTCCCTGAAACTTTTCTTGTTTTGTTCTGTTTTTTCGATCTTTTATCTGAATGGTTTTTCTTCTTCACTTCTAAGGAACGCAAGCCTTTTTCTGTGTCTAGCACTCCAACCCTGTCACGGTCAAGTTCTATAAGTGGAGTTGATATGGCCGGACTACAAACGTCTTTTCTTTCTCAGGTGATGTTTCATTTCTTACTTGGTTATTAAGCTGAATAATGATGGGGTGGATATGCAGATGGAAGTTTGCCTATAATCATGGCCTTGCCGTTGCATAGGCAGTGTGTTCATCTGTGTGTTTGTGAAGGAGTGCCAGTTGCAGTGATGAAATGTGGGTTTTTTTTCTGCCTGTGAGAGAGTCATAGAGCTTTTACAGTAAGAATAGACCGAGCCATTTTGTTTGAGCCTGATGATGGAACTTCCTGGGTACTAATTGAATAACTGGGTTTTCTTTCCCTAGCAGGATGAGTCTCATGATCACTCGTTTGGACCAATGTCTGTATCAGCAAATGGAAGCAACCTGTATGAAGCTGTGAGGATGGGGGCAGGATCAAGCATTATTGAAAACCTACAGTCTCAGTTAAAGCTAAGGGAAGGAGAAATTACTCACTTACAGGTATTGGCAAAATATAGCGTAGAAGAAGAAATTTGGGGATTGAATGAATAGCACCCATGATTTCCAATTGGATTCTGAGCAAATTGAGAAGTAAGATGAAAAGGCCGCTCCTGAAACCCAAAATGTGTCACATGTGTTAATGATACAGTGTAACTGGAGAAAAGAGCTGAATGAGACAGCTGATTGCCAGGATAAGGGACACTTACACCTTCTCCCTGACAGTGCTGGAGCAGGCTGTCTCACCTGCTGCCGCCCGCCACAGGGAGATCTCAGTATACTGTGGAGCTACTTGTAGGCAGCCCTATGTCAACAGAGTAAAGGGAAGTTCCTGAGCTGGCTGTGTCCCTGTTACTCTTCACCAGCGATCTCAGCAAGGAAGGTGTAAGGGAATGAGAGGTAGAGACTGTTAACACTTTTACATGGAAAGAAAGCATCAATGGAGAGAGAGCATCCTCCCAACTTATTAATATTTTGCTTTTTAAAATTGTGTGCATGGGAAATCTTAAAGTATCTTAGCGGTATTTGAAGTTAAGCTAGACACACACATAATCAGAAATAAGCAAAAATTTTCTCCTGTTCCCATGATGTGTTCTTGAGTCTATGAAAGTATTACTCTTTTTTTTTTTTTTAAAGATTTTCTTATTTATTGTTATTAGAAAGTGAGTAAGATTTACAGAGGGAAGGAGAATCAAAGAGAATGCTCTTCCATCTGCTGGTTCACTCCTCAAATGGCTACAATGGCTGGAGCTGAACTGATTCAAAGCCAGGAGCCAGGAGCTTCTTCCAGGTCTTCTGCTATGCAGGCTCAGGGTCCCAAGGCTTTGGGCCTTCCTCCACTGCCCTCCCAGACCACAAACAGGGATGGGAAGTGGAGCAGCTGGGACACAAACAGGTGCCTTTGTAAGATCCTGGCCCTTGCAAGGTGAGGATTTAAGCATTGAGTCATTGTACCAGCTCAGAAATACTACCCTTCTCAGGAAGAACTTAAATTGGCAGGAAAAAAAAGATCAAAGTAATCTCAATATCCGGTATGTGTATGTAGACAGTGTGTTGTGCTTGACGGCTGGCATTTATTTCTTTGTTGGTGATAGTTCCTATTGGTGTGACTTAATGTGTCTGGGATGACGTTAAAGTGTTTTTTTATTCTCCTGGGTTCCAGAAGCAATTCAGAATAACTGGAACATACATGTCATTTCCTTAGATTATTTTGTGTGTATCACACACACATCTATATCTCAATGTCATATTTCCAAGGAAAATCAGGACTTTCCTGTCATTTTTTTTAACTTTAGGAGCTAACTCAAATATGTTGACATATTTGTTTCTTCAAAAATTGTCCATTAAATACTTTTTGTATTAGTGTGTTAATTAAACAAGAGATTTTCATTCAGACTGTCTTATGATATTTTGCAGCTAGAAATTGGCAATCTAGAAAAAACTCGCTCAATAATGGCTGAAGAGCTGGTTAAATTAACAAATCAAACTGATGAACTTGAAGAGAAAGTAAAGGAAATACCAAAACTTCGAACTCAGCTAAGAGTAAGATATTTTAATCCATTACATTAATCTCATTTTTTATTTACATAAAATGTGTATGCATGCTGAAGTGATTTCTTTGGAAATTAACTACATTAATGTTTGAGTAAGGACATTTAAAGATAAATTTATTTATATCATTAATATGCAAAAATATTTTTATAATATTTGTCTCATTATAGAAAAAAATAAGTAAAATTTAGGTTTTTTTTAAAAGCAGCCAGGATATGAACTAGCACCCATATGGAATACAAACGTTGTAGGTGACCCTAAGAACTAAGTTTTATTTACCTCATTCACAGCATTGCACTTCACGTGATCTTAGTAGTAGTTTATTCATTGAATCTCAGCCTATACGTGTGTGTGTGTGTTTATCTCATCACAATTACTGCAGTTAGATACTAGGAGATTCAGTTAAGCTGTAAAAAAAGAATATATATTATATTTATATATATATATATATGTATATTTAATACCAAGGAATATTTAAGCCACAGAGACAAGCCTCACTGAGTGTGCTACAAAAGAGACTGAAGTATAACGTGTGTGGGAGAAAACTGGATACATAATTAAGGAGTGAGATGGCTTAGATTGATAGTCATCACTCTTGATGTTTTTTTCTAATTCCTTTATTTATTTTAAAATTTTATGATTATCATATATTATGATTATTTTGCTGTTCTATCGTAGTGTGTAAGTCCCTTTTCTGTTACTGTAGCAAAATACTTGAAGATGATTACTTTATAAAGAGGTGTCTCTTTTTGGCCTCTGATGAAAGTCTTCTGGGCTGTGTTACAAAATAGCCCATGGTATCATCATGAGAATGCACACAGGAGATTACATGGTAAGGTATGAAGCAGAAGAATTCAGAGGACAGGCTTATACTTTTTATAAAAGCCTATTTGTTTTACTTGCAGAAGGCTTACTTTATATTTGAAAGAGAGAAGGAGAAATAAATAGATCTTTCCCATCTGCTATCTCACTGCTTGCACTGTGACATTTTAGGGTTGGACCAGGCCCATATGGGTCTCCTACAGGCATGGTAGGAACCCAAATGCTTGGGCCATCTTCTGCTGCTTTTCCCAGGTTCATTATCAGGGAGCTTGAACGGAAGCGGAATAGCCAGGACTTCAGTGAGAGCTCATATGAGATGGCAGTATTGCAGGCTGTGGCTTTAACCCTTTGTGCCACTTTAGTTGTACAGTGTTGACCCCCTAATAACCTATTGTTGCTAGAACTTATTTAATCTGAGACATTAATGCCTTTGCTGATGGATGCCTCCTCTGACCTAATGGCCTCCCACTCAGCCCCATTAAAAAGGGTCTACCAGCTCTTAATATCACTGCTTGAGGACCAAGCCTCCAGCATAGGAACCCTTGCAGGACAAATCACATCCAATCTATATCTGAATAAAAATTATGACATTTAAGCGGAAGTGTGAATTTAATTTTTAAGATAGATACAGGTTAGATAAAAAATCACACCAGAACAGTGGGACTACCAAGACCAGAATGATGATAAAACCACGTTTATTGAGATCTGCTCCCGGGTGAGGTTCACCGGGGTCTGCAAGTTAGAGGGCCACGGAAGTGGCAAAGACTGAGACGCACCTAGCTTTAGTAGCAGTGGTCAAGGTATGTGTTGTCTTCTGATTGGTCAGCTCCACTTAAATGAGTTGGGGACGTCTATTCTCCTTGGGAACTTTGGTGCCACCTAGGGGCTTTCTGTCTGCTCCCTGCACCCCAAGCCCTCTGGGCTAACAATATATTTATTCAAATTGTAGGTTTTCAATGTAGTTACTTTAAGCATTGTAAACAAATATATTTTTCAGGATTTGGATCAGAGATACAATACTATCCTGCAGATGTATGGAGAAAAAGCAGAAGAGGCAGAAGAACTTCGATTAGATCTTGAAGATGTAAAAAATATGTATAAGAGTCAAATTGATGAACTTTTACGACAGAGGCTTGCTTAACTTCTGAAAATTGAGTTCTTAGTAAACTGAATGTAAACATTTAATATCTAACTGCAGACTTCAATAAATTCTTTTATAGAATTAGAAAATGGAATTTGCTGTAGAATGCCAAAATTTGAAGATTTTCTGCAGTATGTAGTAATATTTGTGGTTAAATTATTTTGTGCAATATTTGAACTTTATTTTTGAAACTATTCTTTAAAGATTTATTTTTCAAAGCATCTGATTTTTTCTTTTTGCCTTAAATAGCACAGAAATTTATTACTTTATCCTCATATCAGTATGGTTGGGGAAGGAGAATGGTGTTCATTTATGTATAGATATAAAAATAACTAATTGTCACTGTAATTTATATGTTTGTGTATATTAACGGCGTTAATGTACTGAAACTTTTAAATCTTTCATACAAATCTTTAACATGATTGCTACTCATGCAAATGTATATTAAATGTTGAAGTAGGAAAGTTACTAAACCTGTGGCTATTAAAGTTTACACAGATTTTGAGTAGAAGTCACACTGACATTGAGATTTGAAGAATGAGTAACTTTAAAAAGTTTACTCTGAAATTTTATTTTGCCCAGCTTCCACAATTCAAGTCAATAAATTTTGCTGTTTTTAGGTACCTGTATGGAGAAAGCTATACAAATTTAAAGGTGTTGAGACGTAAGTAAATAATAGAAAAAGTTCAGTTATACTGAGTTTGTAATGACATTAATAACACTTAAGTGATTTTACTGTCCTATAAAATGAATCCAAAATAATGCCATTAGCATAATTTTCTCTGAACATTTCCTGTTTGCATTTGTAAAACCTTGCTTTTGGGAACATTAAAAATTGTTTGATATTACAGAATGTCAGTAATATAAAAGATTGTAGGAATTCATTTAAAGTTGGTATTTTATATCTCTACTTACCACTTAATTTTTTTTCGTGAAGCTTTAAACACAAAAATAACATGGAATAGCTTTAGAAAACAGCTGTGCTTTCTTCCAAGCGTTATTTCATTCAGAAGTTAACCAGGCTATTTTAGACCTGTGAAATATTTTGATACATTTTGTAACTGAGTGACATTTAACCATCTTTGTTTGCAAATTACGCTGGCATTTAATGTTTTCGCTAAATAGTAGTACTTTAGAGGAAGACCATCTTGAAGATTTGGGGGAGCTTTCCAGGGCAGACCAGGTGACCTCATTTTTGTTTGTTTTGTATTCCGGGCAGTCTTTCTGTCACTGGAGCTCTGATTTATGGCATTAATAAATCTTTTGGTGTGAGCCAAATTCATAAGGTCAGTTTTCTGTATTTTAGTGTTTAAAAACTAGTCTGTTAACTTTTTGTCAGCTTGATTTTTTTTTTTTAATGTTCAAAAGCAGAATGACAAGACTAATAGCAATAAGAATAGAGAAACTACAGGAAACTGAACTAGGCAGAATTCTGTGAAGCATTTGAAAGTAGCAGTTTAGGAATTATGAAACAATCCTTTAAAAATATACGTTGTAAAAAAAGACCTAAAACCTTCATTTGCAGAGAAACAATTGAATTAAAACTTCATTTTGTCTTTTAGTGTTATAATATTGAATGTTCCTTTGTCAGGCCTCATTCATGCTACTTTTCACTGAAAAGTTGAAAGTGTTCAGCCTCTTAGCAGTGACAGTTATTTAAATCTCTGCATATTCCCTTATATTGTTTTTTATTCATAAGCAGAGTTGATATTCACACTAATCTTGCTTTGATTACTGTGCTCTGAGATCCCGAAGTCATGCCGAAGTTCAGAAGATGTGCTGAGTCAGCCTCTTGGAAACTGCCAGTTAATGGCATACTGTCTGTTGAATAATTGGTTGCCACATGTTGCTGTTTTGTCATTAAAACTTCCCAGTCCATAAAATGTATTCTTAGTCTGATGGATAAGAAACTAGTTTAAAATTTGTTGCCACCATGTTAAAAGAGAGGAAGACTGCTAATGATAGAAAAAGAAAAAGAATAAAAGAGGTGAGCTTCCTTGTTGGGTGACATTCATAAATAGGACAAAGAACAGAATGCTTACAACTCTTAGGAGGTATGTTGGAATTAACCTTTCTTGCCTTATGTTTGCCTTTTTTTTTTTTGAGAACCTCCAGTTGTATAATGTTTAGCATGTGGAATGTACCAGATATTTCCGTATTGTGATTTAAGATATTATAAACTTGATCTAGAAAAACGCGAGTTTTTATGGTTAAGTAAGTGAAAAGAATGTTCAGGGAAGTTTCTTTTTTATTCATGATATCTCAAATGACATGTTCATTTATTAATTTAAATTTTATTTGGACATATCAAGAGCATATAATTTGAAGTATTTACAGAATAGCCATAAGAAATAAGAGAAAGTGGTGCAGATGTCGTATTTTGTTTACTGTTGTTGGTTTAATGCATATGTATGTTTATGTTCTAGTGTATTATAATTTTTCGTTTCAGTTGAAGAAATGTTAATCTGATTTTTCCTATTATAGGTCAGTTTTAAACAATATAAATTTTCATAATGTTTTGTAAAGGGCTAAAAGTGTGATTAAGATTGCTACTATAATATTTTAATTCTAAATGAAAAACAATGTAAATAATAAATATGGATCTGATTTGAATAAAGATTTTACAATAGTAATAATGTCTTTCCTTTTTAACAGTTCAAGTGGTCAGTATCAGTGAATGAAGATGGCATTGTTATGAAGATAACTTCTATAGCCTTGGAAGCTATATTTTAGGAAATTAAAGATAAGCCCAAATTTTATTATGAATTCTGCAAGCAAGAGTATTACTAGTAAATTAAATGCAGTTTTTCTAATGAAGATAAGTATATGGAAAAATGTTAGCAGTAAGAATTGACTTATTTTAACTATATGATGGTCAGCAACAGGGATCATTTGTTTCCATTTTTATTTGCAAGCAGTATCAAAACAGCCATCTGGGGGCCAGTTCTATGGCATAGTGGGTAAAGCTGCTGCCTGTGACACTGTGCTCACGTGGCATCCTGGCAGATGCAAGGCAAGGATTTAGCCACTGAGCCATACTGGGCCTTCTTTTTGTAACTTTTGACTTTGAAATAAATAAATGTTAAAGGAAAAAAATAAACAACTTAACAAAAATCTTTTTAGGTTTTCTAACATTTCTGTATTCAGATAACAACAGGTTGAAGGCATTGTCGCTGCCCTTCGCACAGGTAAGAGTCCCTGTTCTCGAGTTTCTGTTTTTTGTTTTTTATTAAGCTCTTTGTTTCCTTTGAAGTATTTTCATGCTGTTGCTTTCACATGTGTTTTACTTTTTAGCACATCATGTTCCTTTTACAAAAAATGTTTAAGTGTCTTTCTTCAGTATTTTTTTTTTCTGAAAAAGTACATAAAAATAATTGTAAAGAGCTACAGTAGCCCATAATTGTCATATGGGAATTTAATCTTAGAGCTATCCAGAATCCCCTGTGCTGAAGGGCAGAGGGTGCGTTCAGCATTGGCTCAGCTGGTTAAGCCACAAGCTGTGATGTAACCAGTTCTCATAGTAGAGCACTGCTTCAAGTCCCTGCTGGTCCACTTATGACCGACCCAGCATCCCTGATGATGATGATGCTGAATGCAGAAGATGGCCAAGTGCTTAGGCCAGTGCTATCCATGTGAGAGAACCAAATGGAGTTCCAGGCCTCTGGGTTTGTTCTGACCCAGCCCTGGCCATTTTGGCTGTTTTGACTGTTTCGGGGAGAAAGCAGCAGGTGAAATGTCTCTTCCTATTCTCAGGAACCCAGTTTTTCTCCCCTAATTGTACTATGGGCACAGAGTTAAGTGGTGCCCAGATTACCCTATGCAGAAATGTACAACTGTGGGTATGGCACAATGACTCAATTAGCTAATTCTCACCTTGCAAGCACAAAGATCCCATATGGGCGCCAGTATGTGTCCCAGCTACTTTGCATCGGTTCCAACTCCTTGCTTGTGGTCTAGGAGGGCAATGGAGGATGGGCCAAAGCCTTAGGATCATGCACTCAATGTGGGAGACCCAGAAGAAGCTTCTGGCTCCTGGCCTCAGATTGTCTCAGCTCCGGCCATTGGGAGTGAACCCGCAGGGTGTCATTCTCCCTGTATATCTGCTTTTCTAACAAAAAAAAATTTTTTTTTGAAATCTGCTTTTTCAATGAAAATAAGTCTTAGGAAGAAAGATTAACTCTATCCCAAACTTACGTACTTACAACTTCAATAACCTTTTAGTTATGGTTTATTCTATATCCTATATTTAGGCATTTTCTTTAAGCAGTTTCTTTAGATAGAGGTGTATTTTTCCTGTGAAGATAAATAATAATGTCTGATGGTCTCCTTTTGTGATACAGCAATCATTGGCGTTCATTTTCAAAATCTCATTTGTTCATAGAAGTTGTAGAGTGATACTCTATTTTGTCATTCCCTTTCATTTAGTAGCTGAAATATTTCTGTAAAAAGAAACTACTCAAGTCAGCTACTTGATTGTTTGTAATAATTCCTATCAAAGAGACAATAAATATCCTTGATCTTTTTCATTATCTACCATATTCAGAATAAGAATTGGTTCCTCTCATCATCAGAGATGAACAGTTAAGTTTTTGGCTTCTGTGTTTAGTTGGGTGTGTATTTGTTTCTGTCAGCTATAGTTACCTTTGTTTGTACCTTAAATCATCCTGTCTTTGGCCCGAGGGAACCTCAAGCTGCGTGTTGAGTCCTTTTGATACTACAAATAGCCACTGACTGCTTCCTTCCTTCCCTGTGCAAGGTGAATGTTGTGCTCATTAGGTGCATGTCCTGCGTCAGAGGCAGTTCACGCTTCACCTCATGGGGAATGCTTTGTAGAGACCGCAGTCTAGGCGCAAGCAGTGCTTCTTGGCATTAAGAGGTTTATCTAGGCTTTTCCAGTTAGGAGAGATCATCTTTTTGTAGAAAAAAATCACTGATATATATTGGGGACTCCAGTTAATTTATGAACTACAGGGTGCTTGTGGATTCCAATCTAGCTCTCATCCAGTTTGCATGTCAAATATTTCGACTTCAGTGATCCCTGCTTTATTGGGCTTATCCCATAATACCAGCACAGCCACCAATATCTTACTGAAAGCAGTGCATGATGGGTTTTTTGTTTTGTTTTGTTTTGCCAATTTTTATTTTGAGGGTGCAGATTTTATTTCTTGGAATAGTTTCCCACGATACGCCATAACTGGATAGCATTTGGATTCATTTAGCTTCATTTTACTTTCCATTTTCAAGGGATTCTTTTTGCAAGTTTAATTCTGTTTTAAAAAAATGTAACACATTTATATGCTTCCAAGGTCAAGTCTATGTAAGGTATTTTAAGAGAAGTGTTCTGACCTTGCCTCCTATACTCCTATTCTCTTCTTTATTGCTATATTTATTATCCTCTAGTTGTAAAATTAATATTAAATATGTTTGTATACTCCTCTTTCTTAGCTAAATGACAGCATATTACAATTATTTTTTCCATTCAGTATTAGAGCCTGCAGTATCTCTAGATATTTTATTTAATTATTTTTATGTCTACCTGAATCTGTACTATGTGCATACGTCATATGTTATTCAGTCTCCTAGTAGTTTGCTGTAATGTCACTTTTTTTTAATTTTAAAACTTTTTTTTTAAAGATTTATTTATTTATTGGAAAGTCAGACATACAAAGAGGAGGAGAGACAGAGAGGAAGATCTTCCGTCTGATGATTCACTCCCAAAGTGAGCACTACGGCTGATGCTATGCCGATCCGAAGCCAGGAGCCTCTTCCTGGTCTCCCACATGGTGCAGGGTCCAAGGCTTTGGGCCGTCCTCGACTGCTTTCCCAGGCCACAAGCAGGGAGCTGGATGGGAAGTGGAGCTGCTGAGATTAGAACCGGCGCCCATATGGGATTCAGGTACATTCAAGGCGAGGACTTTTAGCTGCTAGGCCACGCAGCTGGGCCCTCCAATGTCACTTTTTAACTTATTTTTTTTTTTAAAGATTGTTTATTTGAAAGGCGGAGTTGCAGAAAGAGAGACAGAGAGTGAGCTACCGTTTGCTGGTTTACTCATCAGATGGCTGTAATGGCCAGGTCTGGGCCAGGCTGAAGCCAGGAGTTTCATACAGGTCCTCCCTTCGGTGCAGTGGCTGGAGGAGTTTGCCTGTCTTTGGCTGCTTTCCCAGGCATATTAGCAGAGAGCTGGAGTAAAAGTGCAGTAGCTGGGACTTGAAGTGGTGCCCATATAAAAAGCTAGAATCAGAGGTGGCAAGTCAACCTGCTGTGTTACAATGCCAGACCTTTATTGTCAATTCTTAAACATTAAAAACAAACAAACATTTGAAAGACAGACATAGACAGATCTTCTGTTCTCTGATTTATTCCTCGTTGGCTGTAATAGATGGGCTTGGGCCAGAATGAAGTTAGGATGAAGGAACTGAAGCCAAGTTTCCCATGTGAGTGGCAGCGCATCAAGCACATTGGCATAAAACTGAAGCCTGGCACAGCTGGAACTTAAGAGATGTGGGTGCCCAAAGTGTTAGCCTAACCACAGCACCAAATGCCAACACTTTTAATGTAAAAAAGTTAAGTTTTATCATGATGCTTTGGGTACTGTAGTGAGAATAGATGTCATGTTCTTAAGGTCCCTTCATATCCATTCTGCTGAATCGTAATAACTACTCAAAAGACAACCATGTAAAAGAGCACTGGCCTTGCAGTTAACAGTTTGAGAAAACTTTCTCAGGTATTACATTTAGTACACTTAAGATACATATGAATGAATTCCTGGAAAATTCACTTTCCCTTTTAGTTCCATGTTCCCATGAGCTTTCTGAAGCTTCCTCATATGACCTATATATAAAATTTAAGAGTTGCTCATTTTTATTTTATTTTTAAAGGTTATGGGGGGAATCTTCCATCTGTCACTTCACTACCCAAAATTCTGCAACAGTTAGGGTTAGGACGAGCTAAAGCTAGGGGCTCTGAACCCAGCCTGGGTCTCCCACATGGGAGGCAAGGATCCCAGCACTCAAGCCATCATCAGTCACCTCCCAGAGGGTGTCCTTGCTGGAAACTGGATCGGAAGCACAAGAGCCAGGACTCTGACATGGGATTTGGAGTTCCAAGCAGCCATCGGACCCCTGTGCCACACACCTGCATCAGGATCTAGAAACAGCTTGTTTACAACTTCAAATGAGAAAACTTTGAATCAACAGGAAAACTACATTTCCTGTACATGACAATAATAGGATGGTGGCAAGTAAACTGAGAAGGAATTCTAAAAATCACTGTCATTAATATGAGAGCAGGTCAAGAATAAGAGTGGCGAATCTCTTACAGGCCAAGTCTTTTCTTACATGAAGAACAGAGGAGTTAATAAGGTGCTTTAGAATAATGCTTAGCACCTGCTAAGCAATATGTCATTAGTTGGAAACATTTTTGGATAATACTGTTAGCAGATGACTAGTGGAACTTGCAACAATTCTTTCAGTAGCATCTTAAAGTTATTTCGAAAGTTAAAGCACTGAGTTTGCTTGCGATTCTATTACTTAATACTGGTCACTGTGCATCTGTGTTTATTTTGATAGCTTCAACCGTCGCTGCACAAACATTTAAATGAATCAGTATTTGATGATCAGCCATATCGTTCTA